CTGGGGAAATAGATAGCAGGAGGGCAGCCGGCGGCAGGGACTCGCCTGTCGTTGGTGAGCACTTCAAATCGGACAGGCGGACATCAAGTCATTCTCTCGCAGCACACACGCGCACACGACCTCGGCGCACCGTATACATGCATACTACGCAACAAGACCGCCCCGCGCGCACTCGTACAACACTCAGAAAGACGGTCGACCAGCTAGGCGCCCACGCAACACCCACAACACTGCCGCGTCCTTCGAGCTGTCCGCCTTGCCTCCTTCTACACTGCCACTACCTGCCGACGCCTCGCTCCCTGAAGGTCGCTCGCTCGCTTGCAGCGCTGCGCCCCTCGCTCGGACATGCTCCGCTGGCTGCTGGGAGCACCCGCTGTCCCGCTGGGTGCCTAATAATATACCGGTGAGTCTCTGTTGCCAAGTCGAAATCCTGCCACTGACCTCCTGCTCGAAACCTCCTGCCCCGCCAGTACGTCCTCGATGATCATATGCAAACGCGCCCATCCGCTGTTCTGTCGCTACAGCTTCCAGCTGCGCTGGTCGCTGTCCGGCCGCGATGTCGCGCACGAGCGGTCGTGTTTCCCGACGTCTCCCATCGAATGCTACGCTTCCGCTGGACCATGTTAGCGGTGTAATACGCTGGCAGTCCCGTCTCGCCACACGCGATTTTCGACACTGGTCGCTCGGCGGGCGAGACTTCAATACGGTCTTGTGCTCGGTGTGCAGCATATGGGCCCGGGAGGCGTTCGGGAGGCGACGGTGTCCGCCAGACTCCGTCGTCTGGGGAGTTGCAGACATCATACAATCCTACGTGTGTGCTCACCTCCGGTTGCATGTCTTACACCCCGATACCCATCCGACCTCCCCCATCTCGTCCTGCCCCGCACCGCGCCACCGTTGTGGGGTGTGAGTGCCCCTGAAGGTGCGCTCTGGCGGACACGAAGGTCATCATGCACGATCCAAGGCGGCGGATGTCTTCTGCACACGCCCACAGCCACAGGATTCGGCGTCGACCTGGTGCACGCCCACCAAAAATCGTACGGAGAATGCAGCCATTGCGTGGCCTCTCCGGCGCCTGATGCCATAGATCTGGAGCTGGTCTCCCCGCTGTGACCAGCACTCGGCTCTCCATCAGCCGTTCCCGTCTTGTGCGGGCCTTCCCACAATGTGCCGTCACCTCCGATACAAAGCACTCACCTGCGCCCTCGTCTTGTGCTGTGTCTGCTCGGCAGTATAGACGGGATGTTGCGATCGACACGCCATGACATCGGTCGACCAGCATTAGGACGAAGGCAGTGGAGCAGCAGGCAGTGAGCGGAGAAGACATGGAGAGGATGTGATGAGGGTGGCAATGGGACGGGGCAAACGGGGTAGTCCCGGGATAGCAAGATATCTGTCGGTCTGTCCGCTTAGCACAACGTGATGGAATGCCTTTCCCATCGGTCTACTGTTACACATAGGCCGAGTCCTAGCGCTCGCTCTCATGGCTCGCTTCTCGTTCCAGGGGTTCTCCGCCGCCGGGCTATCCGGCGAGTGCTGATGCCTGCCGCAGCCAGCACGGCACCTTTGCCGCTCACGTAAACTCACGCAAGATTCTGTTGCCCACTCTGACATAATCAGCAGCGGAATAGGGCAGGGAGGTGCGACTCCTTCAACTTGCTCACCCCGGTGCTCTTCCTCGGCCGACCTTGAATTATTTTATTGCCCACAATGTCTGCACTGCAACTTGTCCCGCTTCAAGCCTTGTGCTCGATATTGTCCACCTACACCCTATTGTGCATCACTGTCATTCTCATCGTGCTAGAACCCCGTCCCGGCTCACCAGTGCTGCTCGTACAGCCACCGTGTGGCCCGGAAGCAAGACTTGTAAATCATTCTCGGAGTCGATGTGCATACACCGCACAATTCAGATGCCCAGAGGCTCCGCCAGGAGGTGCATAATGTGAGCTAATTGTGCTTGTGTGATGAATGTGCAAAATTCGAGGCTCAAGCGGGCCGTACATCGTACAGAAAGATATGTCAGACGTGGGCAGTCGATCTGAAGATCTAGGGGTGAGTGCCTGATTTGGCAATTGGCGTCGTTCGAAGCGCCCATCGCATGCCCGGCGCCTGCGACTCCAAAAACCTGAACTTTGTGTTCTATTCCTGCCTCCCTCTGCCGCTCTCTCGCCACATGATACAGAAGACCTGAAGAATCATTCATTTGGGACCACTCGACTCGATCTGACAGACAGTGGCTGCGCTATGTACTGCTGCACAATGCGGCCCACTCAGGTCATCACTGTTCCCTGCCTGTCTCGCCGTTTCAACTTTCCCCATGGTGGCGGGGTCCGACGGGAACTTGCCTAATCTAAGATAAAGACAATTTTGCTGTATGCTGATGGCAACGGGAAACAGGGACATTCACCGCTGATGCTTGCATCAAGTTCGCTTCACGCCTCTCCGGGTCCCGGATTTTACGGCAGTCCCTCGGTCCACTTCACCGGCAACCCGCTCTTCTGCGTCCGCATTCTGTGGTACGAGACCCACCTCTTTCTTGGATGCTCACGTCCTGACTATGGCGCAGTGAAGCTGCACCAGGCTGGCCCGGGAGAGCAGCCAATTTTGGCACTAGATGTACGCCATACGGTGCTTGCAGTGATCTCCGGAATCCGTACAGAGGGCGAACTTCGGGCGAACGTCCTCGTGCACTAAGTCACTGGGAGCGCAGAGCCGGCAATATTAAATTCAGTCATTGCTTCTCCCGCCTGGAATCGCTGATGCCGGAGCCTGCGCGCCTCGCAAACTGCGGCCGCCGTCTCCAGAGTCTAAATCTGTTGTTATGGGTTACGTTCGCAGGTGAGTATATTTTTTTGGTCACCTGGTTTTTGACTGATGTCTGTCGGGAGGCTGCAGGCCCGGCGGCTCGGATGCACTGGCATCAGTGGGTGTCTTTGTCTGGACCAATTCCATGTCATACAATTACCTGTATGCACGCCACCAGAAGCCGAGTCTAGACGATGCACATATAATCAGCCACTAAGACGGTGAGTGCGTTCCTGTTCTGAGGCTCCAATTACAGCGCTCATCCTCTCGACTCGGATCTCAATTGCAGGCGGCCGGGACAGACCCAGAGATCGGGCTCTGTTGCACCCGCAAGCGCACCCGGTGGTCAATCTTATGGCATAATCCCCACCGTAAGCGTGTACTTCGTGCTGCGGGCCTGCACACCTAGCAACCCGTGGAAATTGACCCCGTGCACGTTGGTCTGGGACGTGTCCCGAGCTGTGTAGTCGGGTGTGGACTCTATCATTATGCATCACATTTATGTCACCGCCTGACCCCGCCAAGCGTCCAGACTGGTTTGAACAGTGCCTCGGGGTTGTGCCCAGCGGCGGGCCCGCGTCCCTTGTCCGGCACACGCACTAAACAGACAGGGCTTCCGCTGAACCGCGGCCTGAGTAGCATCGGTCGCGGCGCCCGGCGCCGGAAGAGTGTCCGAGTCCCGCAGTGTGACATGCAGCACCACTGCGTGTGCACCGTCATCCCGAAGTTGCGAAGGACCTGGACAGTGAGCATGAGGGACTGCCACACGTGCGGTAGCGACTAGTGTGGCGGACGTGACGCCGCCGGTCGATAAACTGACCTGCTTTGCGGTGGGTTACCGCGTCCGTGACACGCCGCTGCAGCCTCGCAACGCTGAGCCGGCCGACTGCAGCCTCATCGGCCTGAGAGAGCCGGCCTCGCGCCCGAGTCAGTGGCGGGGCAGCTGAGCAGGCCTGTGGGTTTGGTACCGGCACACCGAGCGGTGGGCCCCGTGCGCCGTGAAAGAGCAGACTCGGACTCGGACGGGGCGCTGGTCACTGCGATATGTGATGTGCGTCGGGCTGTTCGGGGCTACCCTGAATTCAACTCGGAAGGCAGTTTGGCCCATGGATATCAATGCAGTCGTGCTGTTTAATATTAATGGGTGTACACGCCGGCCGCGGCGGCTCGGGGACGTGTATTGCGCAAGGGCGGGATCTCTGAGTGGCATGCGTCGGGGTGTGCATACAAGTCGTGCTGGGTATAGACTATTCACGGCACTAGAGCTTTACTGAGGTCGTCACTTGCACATGTCCGCGGGGCTCTTCATCGAGCAGCGCAGAATACATGGCTCCGCGGTCGTACCGACATCCCGTGTCAGTGGTACATTGGGATTACGCGTGCACTCCTCTGCCCGACGGTCCGCACGCGAGATAGACAGCGCAGACGTCGCGTGGCACGTCCTGCTGCGACCCGAGTGCCGAGTGCCGCCCCTGCCGCTCTCTCGAGGCCGCGTCCGCGTCCGTGAGGTTCTAGACGGGACACCACCGCCACCACCGCACGGTCTGACATATCATGAGCTCTGCGGGCGCAAAACGGACGTGTATTGTTCATTCGAAGTATCGACTACAGCTCGCGCGGACGCCGCGTGCACGCAGGACAGAGGCGGGCCAATTCATGTGGCTCGTGCAGGGCGGCAGGGCGCGGCGGTGCGTAAGTTACTGATATGAGCACGCCCGGGTTGGGGTCGTTTCCACCGCTGCGCATTCGCATGCGCAAGCCGCAAAGCCGGGGTCGTCGCGGGCCGTACCTTCTCAACCGTTCGCATACGCGGACGGCGCGTGTGCGGGTCCGGGCGCGTCGCCCCGCGAGCCCATGTGGGCTGGCCCTGCGAGGGGAGATCGGAGGGCCGCGGCATGCAGCGTGCAGCGGGCGCGGTGTGGCGCCACTCGGAGTTGGGGCGAGCATGTGCGCACGGCGGCGGAGGAGGCGGCGGCGCGTACCTGTCTCTGGGCGGCTGCGCCCTTCGCACAGCGCGAGCGCACCAGTTGTGTGCTGAGATCGTTGCCGGACGCGGTGTTCTGGGCGCGATGGGGTTGGGGGCCCCTGGCTGCAGCCGGATGCGAAGCGGCGTCAGCGGGCGACGCACCGCGTTTCAGACACGCGGACGGGAGCCGCGGCGGACGGACTCGGATTGCGTGAGGGCGGTGTGCGCGGCCGCGTGCGAGACCCGCGTGTATGCGACGTCTGCATCCCGCGGGGAGCGGGGAACGGGGCAGCGGGGAACGGGGCAGCGGGCGCGATGCATGCGAGATTGAGTGAGCGGGCGCGGGCACGGCGGAGTGCGAGCGCGGGGCGTGGTCCAGAGTTGTGTGGCAGGCTCGGTGCGCGCCGCCGCACTCGTAGGCTGTGCTTCATAGAGGGTGGCTGTTGGGGTTGGATGGCGCGCCGACGCACGGCCACCGAAGCACCGCCGTGGTCAAGCGGGTCTGGTGCTGGCGACGCGACGAACGGCTCTCATTGCCGATGTCGACGTGCTGCTAGCAGGGCCGCACCGCGCCGCGGCTTCCGTGAGAGCAGCCGTGTCACGATGGGCGATGCGCGTGTTTCACGATCCCCGGGGGCGCGGCGGATGCACGCACTCTGTCTCTTGCAGCCCACCACCCCACCATGGCCGACGAGGCAGGGACCGGATTGAGGGCGGCGTGCATGGCACGGTAGACAGCCGGGGGAGCGTGGTCGGGCTTGCTCTTTGGTAGGGCGGAGCGGGCGCAGGGGCCGGATGTTGTGGGGGCAGCGGGCTTCGGACGGGCGGGTCTCTGTGCGGCGTGCGCGAGTGGCCTCGGCTGCGTTGTGTGCGCCCTGGATGGGATAAGCGAAGGGAAGCGGGTGCAGAGGGCACGCACCGAGACTCGTGCGGGTAGCGGGCTCCGCATGGTTCGTGCGCAGCGCTGGCACACGGGCAGGCGAGGGAGATGGTGATATATAAGGCGGGCCGAGGGGTGGAGGAGCGAGTACCACGGCTGTATGCGTCCCCCTTTCACTCTACTCACTCACGGGAAGCTCTGGCGACAGAGCGCGTCAGCTTGCTGGCCGGCGGTACGTGCCATTTACTGACTGACTTCATGCACTGACGTCGAGTGCAGCAGCACGGCCGGGGTTGCGGATGGCGTCTTGTGAGCGCGAGCCTGGGCCGATGTCGTGCAGGAGGCGTAGGCGTAGGCCGGGTTCGAGCTGGTGGGGGCCTGTTTGTAGCCATTAGACGAATGCTAAGCGCTAAGGAGAGGAGCTGGACGCGGTCAGGTGACGGAGATGGCGTGGAGCGACGTGCGATCGGTGGTGAGCGACGCACGATGACGTAGGGCGCGGCGGCGGAGGCTGCTGCGGCACGGTTGGACTTTGCGCGGACGGGGCCGACGGAGGGCCCGGAGCCTGCGGGGATGCTCATGCGCTCGAGGAGAGAGGCCATGTTGGCGATGAGAGACGAGAAAGAGGGGAGATAAAGGAGGAGGCTCGGGATGGGATGGTGGTCGTCGGGAGCGAGGCCACTGCCGCTCGCACATCCTGAGCCACCGCCACTCGCCCGCTTTCTGTGTGTGCTCCTGCTTGCGTTCTTCTCCCACGAGCGACAGACGCCCATAAACTTTCATCGTCTGTGCAGTCCTCTTTTCCTCTTGCCCTTGGAGCCGTCGTGCGCTCAGGTCTTTGCGTTCTTTCTCGTTATCGCACCTGTATCCACATACTCTGGATTGATCTGGCTGAGCCGACACCTCAACGTAGTCTGTGTAGCCGTGTTTCTGGTCTGTTATCTACTATGCACCTGCACCAATCACTCGGAGGACTGGAGCGAACTACTCCAAGTCGTCAAACAGGGCCGTTAGCCACGTATATTTCAACCCTCTACCCCTCTGCCCTCGTGCCAAAGACTCCATCGGCCCTGAGAATACGGTGATACGACCTCGCAAGCGCTGCACGCCGCTACTGTCCGTGGCGCGCGCCCAGAACACGCTTACCCGCATTGTGCGCGCGACATCGTGCGCGCAGCTGGAAACCCGTGCTAGTTTATCGATGGCGCCGATGTCGGGCGGTGGCGCTCTCGCGCTTCCTCACTTTGTTCACTCCAACCTTCTCCGCGGACGGTGTCCTAGGATCCCCGCGCTTTGACCGGCTCACACCGGACCTCCATGAGGAACACCGAGCATGTCCTCGAACGCGAACAAATCAAAGGAGGAACAGTCCTCGTCTCGGGAGCTCAAGGATGCTCAGGACGCTCTCGACGGAGCAGTTCAGCCTAGCGAGCCTGGTCGTGCGGGTAAGTACCGATTCCGACGACTACTCTAACATACCTGCCGCATCTCGCTCACGCCGCGCCCAGGCAGGCTAGAGGGGGAGTTCGTAGATAAAGTGAACGCAGCAGGACAAGCTAGCAGCAGTAGCGATGGCCTGGGCGTCCTGATGGACGGCGTGAACGGCCTCGTGGAGAGCCTGCCCCCACTCGTCCGCGCGCTCGACGCCGTTGCACAGATACACCCGTTCCTTGCCCTTGCCGTGGGCGCGTTCAAAGTGGTGGTCGAGCTGGAGGCGAAGCGCCGCGACAACGACAAGAAGATCAACCTGCTGTTCCTGGAAATGCGCAACATGATGGCCGCGCTTCTGCAGTGCGTTCTTTGTGACCCTCGTTCGCCGGCCTTGCTAATCGACTCGCACACGATTAGACTGCAGGGCGTCCGCACGAACCATGTCGGCCGCGACGGGCTCAGCATCGGCGCGCGCCTCGACGACCTCATCAAGAAGACGGCGAAGGACATCAAGGAGTGCGCCAACGCGTGCGACACGTACTCGCGCAAGCGGCTGCTCGTGAAGGTGCTCAAGGCGCCGAGCTGGGACGGGACGCTGAAGGAGTACATCCAGCTGTTCAGCGACCGCAAGGGCGAGTTCAACTTCGCCATCTCCATCCACACCGGGCTCGGAGTCGACCGTGCGAACGACAAGCTGGACACGCTGATTACCAAGTACGTAGTCTGTGTACTGCGCGTGTTCTGCGTACTGACGGGTCAGCACAGAGTGGACGTCGTGATCGCGTTCTTCGAGAAGACCGCGCCGCGCGAACAGCGCGCTCTGGCGGAAGCCATCCGGCAGGAAGGCGGCGCCCAGACGGTGCTCGGCAAGTCCGACGTCCTGCAGGAGCTGCTCCTCAAGGAGCAGCAGTTCGAGGCGGCCGGGCTGCCCTCAACCGAGGCTGCCCCACCCGGATACCGCGTGGAATCAGGGCTCTATGCTCGGAGGCGCTCCGGCGCGGGGCCGGGTGCGTACTACTACTCGCGGGCGGCGGAGAACCAGCGTGTGCGGCGACGCGTGGAGACAACACGCAGGGGCGGAGGCGGGTACCGGTACCGGCCGAGCTACAGCCCGCCGCGCCGAGGGAGGGAGCGGCCGTATGCGTACACGGGGCGGGAGGAGTGGCCGGAGGAGGGCAGGGAGGGCGCTGAGGAGGAACGGGAGGGCAGCGTTGAGCTGAGGCGGCTGATGCAGGACCTGGCGGACGAGCCGGCGGTCGCGATTCGCAAGAATCTGGTGTGGTTCGCGCGGAAGTTCGCGATCCAGCAGCGGGAGATCGTGCTGGAGATGACGGCGGTGGTCGTGCATGAGGGCGACCGGGTGATCAGCTCGGTGCTTGCGGGTCCGCATGAGCGGATTATCGATCCGGTGAGCTCGTTTTTTCTGCGTGTTCAGGGAAAAGAGCATCGGCTTACAGTATTCACAGGACCTGTACGAGATATGGAAGGACATGGTGAGGTCTCGTCGTCGTGCTTGGTACCACATGAGGGCTAATGGGCGGCGTAGCGGTGGCGCGGCATCGTGAAGGCACGACATCGGGTAGGACACGTGTGGTGCGGCCTCGTGGGTGGGGGAGTGCGACGGCCAGGGGAATATCGACGGACTCTGGCTCTGGGGAAAGAGATGGTAGGAGGGCAGCTGGTGAGGGGGATGGGGCAGGGACTCGCCCGTCGTTGGTGAGCACTTCGAATCGGACAGGCGGACATCAAGTCATTCTCTCGCAGCACACACGCGCACACGACCACGGCGCACCGTATACATGCATACTACGCAACAAGACCGCCCCGCACGCACTCGTACAACACTCAGAAAGACGGTCGACCAGCTAGGCGCCCACGCAACGCCCACAACACTGCCGCGTCCTTCAAGCTGTCCGCCTTGCCTCCTTCTACACCGCCACTACCCTGCCGACACCTCGCTCCCTGAAGGTGGCTCACTCGCTCGCAACGCTGCCCCCCTCGCTCGGACATGCTCTGCTGGCTGCTGGGAGCACCCGCTGTCCCGCTGGGTGCCTAAGAATATACCGGTGAGTCTCTGTTGCCAACAGTCGAGATCCTGCCACTGACCTCCTGCTCGAAACCTCCTGCCGCGCCCTCCTGCCATGCACTGGCCGTTGCCACTCCCGGATCGCGTCGACACATCCACAGCTGTGACCGTAAGTGTCAGGGGCATCTCGGAAAACTGCGCGCGCATGCTCACACGTTCCCGGTCCCGCCAGTACGTCCTCGATGATCATATGCAAACACGCCCATCCGCCGTTCTGTCGCTACAGCTTCCAGGTCCGGCTGCGATGTCGCGCACGAGCGGTCGTGTTTCCCGACGTCTCCTGTCGAATGCTATGCTTCTGCTGGATCATGTTAGCGGCGTAACACGCTGGCGGTCCCGTCTCGCCACACGCGATTTTTGATACTCCTCGCTCGGTGGGCGAGACTTCAATATGGTCTTATGCTCGGTGGGCAGCATACGGGCCTGGGCGGCGTTCGGGAGCCGACGGTGTCCGCCAGACACCGCCGTCTGGGGAGTTGCAGACATCATACAATCCTACGTGTGCGCTCACCTCCGGTTGCGTGTCTTACACCCCGATACCCATCCGACCTCCCCCATCTCGTCCTGCCCCGCACTGCGCCGCCGTTGTGGGGTGTGAGCGCCCCTGAAGGTGCGCTCTAGTGGACACGAAGGTCATCATGCACGATTCAAGGCAGCGGACGTCTTCCGCACACGCCCACAGCCACAGGATTCGGCGTCGACCTGGTACGCCGCCGCCCTCTGCACGCCCCCCAAAAATCGTACCGGAACGGATCTGCCGCTGGTCTCCCCGCTGTGACCAGTACCCGGCTTTCCATCGACCGTCCCTGTCCTGCGTGGGCCTTCCCACAATGTGCCAGCGCATCCGATACGAAGCACTCACCTGTTGCCCAGTGGGCTCGAGGCCTGTGAGTCCGCCACTTCTGATTCGCTCTGGCACTCTGTCTCCCGTCCGGCCCCCCTGTGAACTTTGCGTGGACAGTAGCCGCCGCACACATGTGCATTCTTGTACGATGCGGAGGCGGCTTTGTACTAACCTTGCTGTCCTGTCTTGCCTACCTAGCAGCGGCCCCGACTCATCTATCAGATGACATGCCTCATCTCCGTGCGCATGTCGACTCACCTGTGCCCTCGTCTTGTGCTGCGTCTGCTCGGCAGTATAGACGGGATGTTGCGATCAACACACCATGACGTTGGTCGACCAGCATCAGGACGAAGGCAGCGGGCAGCGGAGGAGTGGGCAGTGAGCGGAGAAGACATGATGGAGAGGATGGGATGAGGGTGGTAGCGGGGCGAGTGGGGTAGTCCCGGGATAGCAAAATATTTGCCGGTCTGTCCGTGTAGCGCAACATGATCATGATGATGGAATGCCTCTTCCATCGGTGTGCTGTCACACATAGGCCGAGTCCTAGCGCTCGCTCTCATGGCTCGCTTCTCGTTCCAGAGGTTCCTCGCCACCGGGCTATCCGGCGAGTGCTGATGCCTGCCGCAGCCAGCACAGCACCTTTGCTGCTCACGTAAACTCACGCAAGATTCTGTTGCCCGCTCTGACATAATCAGCAGCGGAATAGGGCAGGGAGGTGCGACTCCTTCAACTTGCTCACCCCGATGCTCTTCCTCGGCCGACCTTGAATTATTTTATTGCCCACAATGTCCGCACTGCAACTTGTCCCGCTTCAAGCCTTGTGCTCGATATTGTCCACCTACACCCTATTGTGCATCACTGTCATTCTCATCGTGCTAGAACCCCGTCCCGGCTCACCAGTGCTGCTCGTACAGCCACCGTGTGGCCCGGAAGCAAGACTTGTAAATAATTCTCGGAGTCGATGTGCATACACTGCACAATTCACATGCCCAGAGGCTCCGCCAGGAGGTGCATAATGTGAGCTAATTGTGTTTGTGTGATGAATGTGCAAAAGTTGAGGTGCAAGCGGGCCGTACACCAAACAGAAAGATATGTCAGACGCGGGCAGTCGATCTGAAGATCTAGGAGTGAGTGCCTGATTTGGCAATTGGCGTCGTTCAAAGCGCCCATCGCATGCCCAGCGCCTGCGACTCCAAAAAGCTGAACTTTGCGTTCTATTCCTGCCTCCGAGGGCCGCTGCCACTCTCTCGCCGCATAATACCAAAGACCTGAAGAATCATTCACCTGGGACCACTCGACTCGATCTGACAGACAGTGGCTGCACTACGTACTGCTGCACAACACGGCCCACTGTCATCACTAGGCTTCCCTGCCAGTGGCAGATTGTCTCGCCGTTTCAACTTTCCCCATGGTGGCGGGGTCCGACGGGAACTTGCCTAATCTAAGATGAAGACAATTTTGCTGTATGCTGATGGCAATGAGAAACAGGGACATTCACCGCTGATGCTTGCATCAAGTTCGCTTCACGCCTCTCCGGGTCCCGAATCCTACGGCAGTCCCTCGGTCCACTTCACCGGCAACCCGCTCTTCTGCGTCCACATTCTGTGGTACGAGACCCACCTCTTTCTTGGATGCTCACGTCCTGACTATGGCGCAGTGAAGCTGCACCAGGCTGGCCCGGGATAGCAGCCAATTTTGGCACTAGATGTATGCCATACAGTGCTTACAGTGATCTCCGGAATCCGTACAGAGGCGAACTTCGGGTGAACGTCCTCGTGCACCAAGTCACTGGGAGCGCAGAGCCAGCAATATTAAATTCAGATCTCGCTTCTCCCGCCTGGAATCGCTGATGCCGGAGCCTCCACGCCTCGCAAACCCCGGCTGCCATCTCCAAATCTGTTGTTACGGGTTACGTTCGCAGGTGAGTATATTTTTTTTGGTCACCTGGTTTTTGACTGATGTCTGTTGGGAGGCTGCAGGCCCGGCGGCTCGAATGCACTGGCATAAGCGAGTGTCTTTGTCTGGACCAATTCCATGTCATACAGTTACCTGTATGCACGCCACCAGAAGCCGAGTCTAGACGATGCACATATAATCAGCCACTAAAACGGTGAGTGCGTTCCTGTTCTGAGGCTCCAATTACAGCGCTCATTTTCCCGATCTCAATGGCAGGCGGCCGGGACAGACCCAGAGATCAGGTTCTGTTGTACCGGCAGCACAACCACACCCGGTGGCCGATCTTATGGCATAGTCCTCACCATAAGCGTGTACTTCGCGCAGTGCGGGCCTGCGCACCTAGCAACCCGTGGAAATTGAAGCATACCCCGTGCACGTTGGTATGGGACGTGTCCCGAGCTGCGTAGTCGGGTGTGAACTCTATGCATCGCATCTATGTCACCGCCTGACCCCGCCAAGCGTCCAGACTGGTTTGAACAGTGCCTCGGGGTTGTGCCCAGCGGCGGGCCCGCGTCCCTTGTCCGGCACCCACACCAAACAGACAGGGTATCCGCTGAACCACAGCTTGAGTCGCATCGGTCGCGGCGCCCGGCACCGGAAGAGTGTCCGAGTCCCGCAGTGTGACATGCAGCACCACTGCGTGTGCACCGTCATCCCGAAGTTGCGAAGGACAGGGAGAGTGAGCATAAGGGACTGCCGCACGTGCGGTAGCGACTAGCGTGGCGGCCATCGCCGCCGGTCGATAAACGGACCTGCTTTGCGGTGGGTTACCGCGTCCGTGACACGCCGCTGCAGGGCAACTCCGAGCTGGCCGACTGCAGCCTCATCGGCCTGAGAGAGCCGGCCTCGCGCCCGAGTCAGTGGCGGGGCAGCCTGAGCAAGCCTGTGGGTTTGGTACCGGCACACCGAGCGGTGGGCCCCGTGCGCCGTGAAAGAGCAGACTCGGACTCGGACAGGGCGAAGCGTGTGCGCTGGTCACTGTGCGTGGGGCTGTTCTGGGTTACCCTGAACTCGAAGGCAGTTTGGCCCGTGAATGCAGCCGTGCTGTTTGATATTAGTGGTTGTACACGCCGGCCGCGGGCGCTCGGGGACGTGTATTGCGCAAGTGCGGGATCTCTGAGTTGCATGCGTCGGCGTGTGCATACAAGTCGTGCCGGGTATAGACTATTCACGGCACTAGAGCTTTACTGAGGTCGTCACTTGCACACGTCCGCAGGGCTCTTCATCGAGCAGCGCAGAATATGTACATGGCTCTGCGGTCGTACCGACATCCCGTGTCGGTGGTACATTGGGATTACGCGTGCACTCCTCTGCGCGACGGTCCGCACGCGAGATAGACAGCGCAGACGCCGCGAGGCACGTCCTGCTGCGACCCAGGGCCGAGTGCCGCCCCTGCCGCTCTCTCGAGGCCGCCGCCCGCGTCCGTGCGGTTCCAGACGGGACGCCACCGCCACCACCGCACAGTCTGACATAGCTCTGCGGGCGCAAAACGGACGTGTATTGTTCATTCGAAGTATCAACTACAGCTCGCGCGGACGCCGCATGCGCGCAGGACAGAGGCGGGCCAATGCCTGCGGCTCGTGCAGAAGCACGACGGCGGCGGCGGCAGGGCGCGGCGGTGCGTACGTTACTGATACGGGCACGCCCCGACCAGACCCGGGTCGGTTGGGGTCGTTTCCACCGCTGCGCATTCGCATTCGCAAGCCGCAAGCCGGGGTCGTCGCGGGCCGTAGCTTCTCAACCGTTCGCATACGCGGACGGCGCGTGTGCGGGTCCGGGCGCGTCGCCCCCCGAGCCCATGTGGGCTGGCCCTGCGAGGGGAGATCGGGGGGCCGCGGCGTGCAGCGTGCAGCGGGCACGGTGTGTCGCCACTCGGAGTTGGGGCGAGCATGTGCGCACGGCGGCAGAGGAGGCGGCGCGTACCTGTCTCTGGGCGGCTGCGCCCTTCGCACAGCGCGAGCGCACCAGTTGTGTGCTGCGATTGTCGCCGGACCCGGTGTTCTGGGCGCGATGGGGTTGGGGTGCACGCTGGCTGCAGCCGGATGCGAAGCGGCGTCAGCGTGCGGCGCACCGCGTTTCAGACACGCGGACGGGAGCCGCGGCGGACGTACTCGGATTGCGTGAGGGCGCTGTGCGCGGCCGTGTGCGAGACCCGCGTGTATGCGATGTCTGCATCCCGCGGGGAGCGGGAACGGGGCGGCGGGCGCGATGCATGCGAGAGTGAGCGGGCGGGCGGGGGCACGGCGGAGTGCGAGCGCAGGGCGTGGTCCAGAGTTGTGTGGCAGGCTCGGTGCGCGCCGCCGCACTCGTAGGCTGTGCTTCAGAGAGGGTGGCTGTTGGGGTTGGATGGCGCGCCGACGCACGGCCACCGAAGCACCGCCGTGGTCAAGCGGGTCTGGTGCTAGCGACGCGACGCACGGCTGTCATTGCCGATGTTGACGTGCTGCTAGCAGGGCCGCGCCGCGCCGCGGCTTCCGTGAGAGCAGCCGTGTCACGACGGGCGTCGCTCGGCGCGATGTGCGTGTTATACGATCCCCGGGGGCGCGGCGGATGCACGCACTCAGTCTCTTGCGGCCCACCACCCCACCATGGTCGACGAGGCAGGGACCGATTGGAGACGGCGTGCATGGCACGGTAGACAGCCAGGGGAGCGTGGCCCGGCTTGCTTTTGGTAGGGCGGAGCGGGCGCATGGCCGGATGTTGTGGGGCGGCGGGCTTCCGACCGGCGGGTCTCTATGCGGCGTGCGCGAGTGGCCTCGGCTGCGTTGTGTGCACCCTAGATGAGATAAGCGAAGGAAGCGGGCGCAGAGGGCACGCACCGAGACTCGTGCGGGTAGCGGGCTCCGCGTGGTCCGTGCGCAGCGCTGGCACACGGGCAGGCGAGGGAGATGGTGATATATAAGGCGGGCCGAGGGGTGGAGGAGCGAGCACCACGGCTGTATGCGTCTCCCTTTCGCTCTACTCACTCGCGGGAAGCTCTGGCGACAGAGCGCGTCAGCTTGCTGGCCGGCGGTACGTGCCCTTTACTGACCGACTTCATGCACTGACGTCGCGTGCAGCAGCACGGCCAGCGTTGCGCATGTCGTCTTGTGAGCGCGAGCCTGGGCCGGTGTCGTGCAGGAGGTGTAGGCGTAGGGCGGGTTCAAGCTGGTGGGGGCCTGTTCGCGTAGCCATTAGACGAATGCTAAGGAGAGGAGCTTGACGCGGTCAGGTGACGGAGATGGCGTGGAGCGACGTGCGATCGGTGGGGAGCGACGCACGATGACGTAGGGCGCGGCGGCGGAGGCTGCTGCGGCACGGTTGGACTTTGCGCGGACGGGGCCGACGGAGGGCCCGGAGCCGGCAGGGCGGCTCATTCGCTCGAGGAGAGAGGCCATGTTGGCGATGAGAGACGAGAAAGAGGCGAGATAAAGAAGGAGGCTCGGGATGGGATGGTGGTCGTCGGGAGCGAGGCCACTGCCGCTCGCATCCTGAGCGCTGAGCCACCGTCACTCGCCCGCTTTCTTTGTGTGCTCCTGCTTGCGTTCTTCTCCCACGGGTAACAGACGCCCATCAGCCTATTTGGCTCGGCAAAGTTGCGGGGAAACATTGTCTACTTTCTCTAGTTCTTCGTGCACTGTCTTTGCTATGTTCTTTCAACTCGCCATCGCACTTCTCGCAGGAGAATCTGTCGTACCACGGGATACTGTTCCTTAAACTAGGCTCTCTTACAAAACCTTATAACTATGGGCCACTTGACCGCCTCTGCCGATATGCATCCTCGTCGATATCGGGCCAGGAGGATTGTCTTCTGCGAATGTATACGGGTGATGCACGGCGCTGCTCTATAACGCAGTGTATGCTCAACTAGCCTCGCTTACACATATCTGTAACTACGGTTCAGACTATCAATCCTTTTCAATCCCCCGAAGCAGCGCTCAGCTCAACTGCAAGCTCCTAGAACCTACTGAGTACATTTCGCTGCATACCTGTTCCTCGTCAGAGCAAGGCTCTCGTGCATCGTTCGTGGTCGACCAAAACGTTGCGCACGAAGCTAGCACTTGTCATCTTTTGACGAGCATGGACTCGCTGCAGGCGCCATTCGAGTATCAATATGGGCCTCGCCGATCTTAGGCCACGAGCACCGAGCAGACGTACCTGTGCTAGAGATCCTGCAGACGTTCTTTCAACTGTGCCCTCGCTGCCCTGTGGCGCGCGCCCAGATTGCGCTTATCCATGGGGACACTGTGCGCCATCGTTCGCGCAGCTGGAAGCTGATGCTGGGCCATCGATGGCGCCGATGTCGGGTGGTGGCGCTCTCGCGCTTGCTCACTTCGTTTACTTCAACCTTCTCCGCGGGCGGTGTCCTAGGATCCCCGCGCTTTGACCATCTTACTCCGGACCTCCGTGAGGGACACCGACACCGAGCATGTCTCACAACACGAACAAATCGAAGGAAGAACAGGCCTCGTCTCGGGAGCTCAAGGATGCTCAGGACGCTCTCGACGGAGCTGCTCAGCCTAGCGAGCCTGGTCGTGCAGGTGAGTCCTGCTTCCGTACATTCTGCATCAGCGGGATTCCGTGAACGCTACATCACCGTACCCCAGCTTCTACACTTGCGTACCCGTAATCCGGCTATGCTGGGGCAGTTATGGCTGGTGCTCGAGCTTGAACGACGCCAGTAAACGTGCCGTTTGAGGCAGAGTCATTCTGGCGCATCTGCGCGAGTACGGGCCGATGGCCATCTGGTTTTATCCATACTTTGACTGCAGTGCCCGTGCGGTTTAATTCAGGGGACTCGTCTAACGACTCTGTCTTTTAGGGAAAATAGAAAATGATATCGTGGATAAAGTGAACGACGCTGGACAGGCTTCCAGCAGCAGCGATGGCCTGGGTATCCTGATGGACGGCGTGAACGGCCTCGTAGAGAGCCTGCCCCCTCTCGTCCGCGCGCTCGACGCCGTCGCACAGATACACCCGTTCCTCGCCTTGGCCGTGGGCGCGTTCAAAGTCGTCGTCGAGCTCGAGGTGAAGCGCCGCGACAACGACAAGAAGATCAACCTGCTGTTTCTGGAAATGCGCAACATGATGGCCGCGCTTCTGCAGTATGTCTTCTATATTCCGGATCGCCGACTTTACTGATACGCTTACACACTCTCAGACTACAAGGTGTACGCACAAACCACGTCGGCGGGGACGGGCTCAGCATCAGCGCACGCCTCGATGACCTCGTCAAGAAGACAGCGAAGGACATCAAGGAGTGCGCAAACGCGTGCGACACGTACTCGCGCAAGCGGCTGCTCGTCAAGGTGCTCAAGGCGCCGAGCTGGGACGGGACGCTGAAGGAGTACATCCAGCTGTTCAGCGACCGCAAGGGCGAGTTCAACTTCGCCATCTCTATCCACACGGGGCTCGGAGTCGACCGCGCGAACGACAAGCTGGACACGCTGATCACCAAGTGCGTGCTCTGTGTACTGCGCGTGTTCTGCGTGCTGACGGGTCAGCACAGGGTGGACGTCGTGATCGCGTTCTTCGAGAAGACCGCCCCGCGCGAACAGCGCGCTCTGGCGGAAGCCATCCGGCAGGAAGGCGGCGCCCAGACGGTGCTCGCGAAGTCCGACGTCCTGCAGGAGCTGCTCCTGAAGGAGCAGCAGCTCGAGGCGGCCGGGCTGCCCTCGACCGATGTCGGCCCACCCGGAACACACGTGGAATCAGGGCTCTATTCTCGCAAGCGCTCCGGCGCGGGGCCGGGTGCGTACTACTACCCGCGGGCGGCGGAGAACCAGCGGGTGCGGAGACGCGTGGAGACGACACGCAGGGGCGGAGGCGGGTACGGGTACCGGCCGAGCTACAGCCCGCCGCGCCGGGGGAGGGAGCGGCCGTATGAGTACACGGGGCGGGAGGAGTGGCTAGGGGAGGGGCGGGAGGGCGTAGAGGAGGAACGGCCGCAGGAGGGCAGCGCTGAGCTGAAGCGGCTGATGCAGGACCTTGCGGACGAGCCGGCGGTGGCGATCCGCAAGAACCTTGTGTGGTTTGCGCGGAAGTTCGCGATCCAGCAGCGGGAGATCGTGCTGGAGATGACGGCGGTGGTCGTGCATGAGGGCGACCGGGTGATCAGCTCGGTGCTTGCGGGTCCGCATGAGCGGATTATCGATCCGGTGGGCTCGTCTGTTCTGCGTATTCAGGGAATTTGGCATTGGCTTACAGCGTACACAGGACCTGTACGAGATATGGAATGATATGGTGAGGTCTTGTGCCCGTGTTTGATACTACTTGAGGGCTAATAACGCAAGCAGCGGTGGCGCGGCATCGTCAAGGCACGACATCTCGTCCTCGCTATACACGACTACTACACCCAGCGGCTGGACGACCAGCGGCGCGCGGTCGCGCAGGGCGCAACACCACAACGCCCTGTTGGCGAAAGCGATGTGTGGGCGCTGGAGTGCCTCGACCTCATGCATCTGCAGCAGATTGTCGAGGCGTTCGACGCGGACGCATCGGGCTTCATCACTACTCAGGAAGTCAACTATTTCACCACGTCGCGTCCGCAGGGGTGGAGGTACGTCTTCTCCTCTCTTGGTAAGCATGCCCCATTGACACGCCGTATCGCAGTTTGCTACATTGGCTGGCCTACTGGGCGGTCGGGTGGCAGGTCGTGATGACCGAGTACAGGAGCAAGATCTACGCCCTTCTCAATCACATGAAGGGCTTCCGCACGTCTGTGCGCGGGCGTGGGCCGGCCGTGGAGAAGTACCTCGACAAGGTCGTGCCGCTTGTGAAGGCGATGACGAGGCCGTTCCGCGAGGATCCGGAGCACCGTTTCTTGCTGGACCGCTTCCGGGGGTATGCGGCGCAGGAGGAGCAGCGGCTGCGTGAGGGGCTGGAGACGGCGAAGTATGATCTGGATGCGCTGGATACGCTGGCGCTCATCAATGGGCCAAGGGGGTTGGAGAGGGTGCGTCCGTCCGGATTGACTCAGGCTGAAGTAGAGAGGGGCGCTGCTAATATCCGTTATACAGAATTTGTTCGTGATCCTGTATCTTCTTTTGCGCCGACACTACGACGTCATGTCCGTCGGAAAGAAAGTCATTCTTCACCCCGAGGAGCTCTCGGACGCAGCGAGCGCGATAGAGCTCGTAAAGGACGCGTTCGTTTACCGTGGTCAGGATCTAACAGGTATCCAAACGCTCCTCACACAACGCTGTGCTTGAGTCAGTGTGTCTGACGCTCCCGTGTTCTAGGGCTGTTTACCCAGCGACGTCTGCAGGTATATCTCGAACTAAGTGACTTCGCTTGCGGAATGGTGAGCTTCGGCTATTTGCATGATGCACGGCAGCTTATCAGGCTTCTTAAGCTGTCGGGATCGTGGGGAAGGGTAGAGGACTACGACTCCGATACCGACACCTTGGTCGGAACGTCAGACGACCTTGATCTAGAAGCCACGGGATGTGGTCCGCCGGAAGCGATGCTAAAGTATCCCCCGCATTCTGAGGTGTTTTATCCGGAGAACGAGGACGGCGTTGACACCGAGGGCATCGAGCTCGCTGAGGAACTGAAACCACTGTGAGCTGTGTTTCTCCCGACTGCTAAGATAGAGGGAGCTGACAGGTGCAGCCTCGGGCACTGGGCTGGGGTGCACACGTCCGAGACTGGCGGAACAGTATCCCGACACACGTTCTCCTTCGACTTCCACGCATTCCCTACCGATCCTCAACAGGTTGTCGCTGCCCCTCTCCCCAGCATACCGTGGATGTGCACTCGTGCGACTCTGACGGGCACGTTCACCGGGCTTGATAAGGACGGCTATCGGACGTACGTCATCTCGGAGGCCTACAACACAAGCACGCTTCCAGCTGGATACACTAAAGTGACGCTGAGCGAAGACGGGAGCACTCTCGTAGGCGAAAAGGACGTCGTGCTCTCTTTCACCACATCCGGTCCCAAGCCTCGCGTCGTGATCAGGAAGGGATCCTCTCCGGACATCATGCAGTTCTACCCCCGACCGTCGGAACTTCGAGGCAACAAGGCCTCTGCGCTGTGGCGATTTGCGATCTCCGCTGTGCTATACGACATCCGCCGCCGCCGTTTCTCATGGGGGTTCTTGAAGGAGCGTCGGGACCGGAAGCACCTCCTCGCGTCCCTCCTCCTCGCCGAGTCGCGCAACGGCTCGCTTCATGCAGACGATGTGGTGGAGCGGGTGCGGCTGGCGAACGCGACGACCCCGGCGGACCTGCACTACTTCGCGTACGCGAGCGTCGAGCCGGCCAGGTTCCCGTGGGTGCTTCCGTGGTGCGCGGAGTGCAAGCGGGTGCTGAGGACGGTGCAGCCATGCCTGCGGTGTGCGCTATGCGCGCTGCCTGGGGGGATCGGTGGCTGCGCGACGCTGTGCGACCGCGTGGAATGTCTGAGTGACCATCGTGCCGGGTATGGGGAACACCGTATTTTGAAGACGAGAGAGGCTGGATGGACGTTGGATTCGTTCAAGAAGGACAAGGACGTGGATGAGCGGAAGTTGATGAGACTGTATTCTCAGGCAGCCGCGGCGGTGGGTTTGCTCGGCGTGGACACGGAGAGGATCATAAGGCTGCCATCGCCGCCATCGCCGCCGGAGTACCGGCCCCGTTCGCTTCAGACCATCACGGAGGTGACGGAGAAGTCTGGGGAGCTACAGAGAGGACGCCCAGGACCAGGACCTGTCGTCGTAGGCCTTCCTGCGTCGAACGATGTTGTTGATGGGGTCGTACCAATGGAGAATGTGCCACAAAGAGGCAGTCCTCGCGAGGCGGACCCGACGTACCCTCCATTCCCTATGGGTTTCCCAGCTGAGCCGACCTTCAGCCTGCGCGGCCCTGCGGTCCAAGAGCCTAGCCCAGAAGTCACCGCCGCGCCGAACGAGGACCCCCCTCCCAAACCACAATGCATCAACTGCGAAGAACCGATCACCTCAACCACATGGGTATATTGGGTATGTGTGGAATGCTCAGGTGAGCAGATTTTTGCATCGGCTCGTGGTGGTGGGCTGACTGCTACCCTGCACATAGACCCGACGTACGTCTGTCTCAGGTGCGACGAGCGTGAGGGCGGGCTTTCTCTCGGGATGCACAAGGCGAACCATGTTCTACTCCGGATCGGAACGACGTCAACCGGCCCAACCTCCCGTAGCCTCTCAAGGATTCGGCATAGATACCTGTCTCCACCCCCTCCGGTAATCGATACCATGCCAACCCCCCCTTTGCCTGGGCAGCGTGTCAGCGAGGCAAGGATAGAGGGCATAGAGGATCGTCTCGGGAGCATGGAGAGCCGGTTTGGGAGAATCGAAGAGCGGATGGAGGGGTTTGAGAATCAGCTTTCTGCCGTGGACGGCCGCTTGGTGCGAATTGATAATATGCTGACCGCTGTTCTGTCTCTCTTGCACCGCAGTAGCTCGCCTTCTGATTAGTTTTTTTTTTTTTTTCGAATCCATACATGACCCTTTGAGCTTTATATCCCTCCCGCTACGTTCTCGAACCACGTGGCACCGTATTGCGGGACGCTTGGGCGCCTTAACACCACCAAAACTTGACCAGATGCCAAACTACCACATCGACAGTTCCGACTATCTCTACCGTCATGTGCTCAAGGCTCCGTATCATCTGCGAGGCCTGTCATTTGATGTGGGTATGTGCATGCCGAAGATACGTATATGATTGTGGTTCGGCGCAGTGGACGTGAGATGTCCAAAAAGAGGACAAGGATAAGCGCGTCCGTCTGGGCTCCAGCTCGATCTTCCCGACCATCATCTGCAACGAGCTCTGTCTGCGCACCAGCACGCGGTGCATACATTTCGACGTGCGCGTGCAGACAATTGAAGCTCATGTGAGTGATACAAGATGCATCCCATGCGTCCACAGAAGTAGAGGACTTATCTGATCGACGTACTGCAGTAGATAAACACATCCCTCGGGAGTGTTTCGACTTGAGGCTCCTCTCTCATCGAGCCATCTGCTCGCACACCGCGAGACCGCTCGCTCACAGACCGCCATGGCCTACCATCTCTGCGTCGACTGTGGCGGCTCTAAGACTGCGGCCGCAATCGCGGACTCTGAGGGCAACATCCTCGGCCGTGGCCAGGGCGGCCCCTCCAACTTTGCTTACCTCGGACTCCCCAACTTCATACAAGCGGTCACCGATACCGTAAACGCTGCTCTCAGGTCGTTCATGCCCCACACCGAGGCCCAATCCCTCCTCCCGCCCAGTGCACCGCTTTTCGCCTCCGCGTGGTTCGGCGTCTCCGGCGTTGACAGCAACGCCGCGATCGCGCGCCTTGTCCCACCTCTTACCGCCCTCCTTGGCGTCGAGCCCGTCGTCGCGAATGACACACATCTGCTGGCAGCCCCGCTGCGCATGCACGACGACGTCTCCGCCGCGATCGGCTGCGTCTCCGGTACGGGCGGTATCGTCGTCAGTTTCCGGCAGGGGCAGGGCACGGGCGCGCGCCTCGAGGAGCTCGGGCGCGTCGGCGGCTGGGGGTGGATCCTGGGCGACGAGGGCGGCGGATTCCACGTCGGGCGCGAGGCGGTGCGGCAGATCCTGTGGGACGAGGACCGCGCCTCTGTATACCCGCCGGAGGAGCGCAAGACGGAGAGCACACTCAAGACGCGCGTTATGCAGCATTTTGGCGTCGCGGATCCGTTCGAGCTCCTCACGGTTGTGCACTGGCCGGACCCCGTCGCGGGGGCGGAGGTGGATGCCACGGCGCCCGCGTACACGCGCGACGTGCGCGAGAAGCGGCTATCGTCGCTCGCGCCGCTCGTGTTCGCGGCCGCGTTCGAGGACAAGGATGCGCTCGCGCTGCGTGTTCTGGGAGTCACGACGAACGTGCTTATTGACCAGATCTGCGTGCTACTGCGGCCGGAGGCGGAGGGTACGGAATATGCGCCGCGGACGGTGAAGGCGAGCGAGACGATCCTGTGCTTTGGGGGAAGCCTGGCGGGCGTGGAGGCGTATAGGAAACTCCTACTAGACGAGCTTGCGCGGAGGGGACACGTTATGAAGCGGGTGACGTTCATCGACGACGCGGCGGTGGCTGGTGCGAAGGCGCTCGCAGCGTTGGGCAGAACATGATGATCTCGAGGGAACAAGTGTGTATGTATTCGTAATATCTTGGGATTGATGTACGTGGTATTTTTCGTTATGTGGAGGGCTACGTATGTACCTGCGCGGGCTGGTTCACGGTGTTGTGGCATATAGTACGAGCCCAAGCCCGGGATGTTCGGCCGGGCGCTTTAAACGGGGTCGTATCGGATGCAATCCTCCTCAAACTTTGACCATCTCCCACTAACACCGCGCCAACATTACATACGGACTCCGGAAACATCGAGCATGTCTCTAAACGCACACGACTCGGAGGAAGAGGTACCTCCATCGTCGGACAGTGCCGTCAAGAAAGCCCAAGATGCTATCGAAAGGGCCGCTCAGCCCGGTGAGCCCGGTCGTGCAGGTCAGTCTGCATTTTGCAACAGCGTACATGCAGGGAGTAGCACAGGAAATACCGAAGGTGTTTCCTCCTTACCCATTATGCCAAAGGCGGGTAAGGATAGGTGAACAATTTCTGCACCTGCCGCTTCGTCGACTTTCCCCTTCGACTTGCTCCCCTAGACGAAGGCGATTTTGTCGAGGTAGGGGAGGATACCCCTCGACGATCTCTCACGCTATTTGTTTTTCAGGCAAGCTGGAGAAGGTGATTTTGGACTCGGTGAACACAGAAGGGGATGCTGCAAGCAGTAGCGTCGGGTTAGGCATCCTACTAGATGGTGTGAACGCTATCACAGAAAACCTACCCGTGCTTGTGTGTCTACTCAACACTCTTGCAAAGGTACATCCGTTCCTTGAGGGTACGAGTATTCCTTACGTGCTAATCCCTGTCAAGCGTCACTGATAAACTGCTCAAGTTGTCGTCGGCGCATTCAAGGTCGTCGTCGAACTGGAAGGGAAGCGTCATGATAACGACAAGAAAGTGAAATTACTGTTCTTCGAGATGCATAACATGATGGCAACGCTTCTACAGTACGTCTGGTACATTTCGCTTGCTGTCCCAGTGCCAGCTCACAGCTCACGACGCGCTCAGACTGCGAGATATAGACAGCAATCACGGCGTCAGCCACTCCGCACTCAGCATTGGCGCGCGCCTCGACGTCTTGGTCAAGAAAACTGCGAAGGATATCGAAGAGTGCGCGAACGCGTGCAACGCGTACTCTCGCAAGCGACTACTGGTCAAAGTTCTTCAGGCGCCGAGCTGGAATGAGAAGCTGAAGGACTATGTCTCTCTCTTCCGCCTCCGCAAGAGCGATTTCAACATCGTCATATCCTCCTATATCAGCACTGGAGTCGAACGCGCGAACGTCAAGTTGGACACACTGAATACAAAGTTCGTACATCAGGAATCGTATATCTTCTCCTACTGAAGAGCTTTGAGCTTAGCATGGATGCAGTGGTGCGGATTTTTATGGACTTCGCACCTCCTGAGCAACGCGTGCTAGCAGAAGTTGTCGATCGAGTTCAAGGCGGCGCAAAAGGCGTACTCGCCAATCCCAACGTCCTGAAGGATCTCCTCCTGAAGGAGCAGCGGCTCGAGGCAGCCAAGCACCCCTCAGACGACAATGTTTCTCCCTCAGGCATACGCATGCAGTCCGGTGGGGTACCATATATGCCCGGCACGACAACGCCGTATGTGCCCTGGATGAAAACGCCGTATGCGGCGCCCAAAATGACAACGCCGGGGTCGGCTCAGTACTATTCGCGCGCAGCGGAGACCCAGAGGTTACGGAACCGGCCGGATAATACGCAGGGAAACACGCCGTACGAGCCACAGCGGTACTACCCTGGGAGAAATTCGCGGACAGTGGACGTTTTCCAGGCGGGTGAGGAGCCGGAGGGGAGCCCCGAGATGAGGAGGCTGATGCAGGACTTGGTGGACGAGCCGGTGGTGGCGATACAGAAGAACTTGGTATTTTTCGCGCGGAAGTTTGCGATACAGCAGAGGGAGCTCGTAAGGGAGATGAGAGAGGTGGTCAAGTATGAGAGTGAAAGAGTGATCGCAGAGTTGCGTGGGGGTCCGCATGAGCGCATCATCGATCCGGTGAGCTCTTCCACTTTCGAAAGCGACGTTCGCTGACCGTAACTAGGACCTGTCCGAGATATGGAAGGACATGGTAAGGCTTAAACGTTCAAGTCGAATGGCAAGGTCGTCACTAGACGGCGGCTGACGCACCCATCAGCAATGGCGCGGGATCGTCAAGGCACGGCATCTCGTCCTCGCTCTACACGACCACTACGCGCAGAAAATCGACGACCAGCAGCATGCAGCTGCGCGGGGATCATCACCACTACGCCCCGTCAGCGAGGGCGATAGGTGGGCGCTAGAGTGCCTCGATCTTATGCATCTGCAGCAGATCATTGAGGCGTTCGACACCGACGCGTCCGGTTTCATCACTGTTCAGGAGGTGAACAACTTTACGACCTCGCGGCCCAAGGGATGGAGGTACGCCGTTATCGCTCATAGATAGCATGGACTACAGCGACATACTGAAGGACAGCTTGTTGCATTGGCTGGCATACTGGGCGGTCGGGTGGCAAGTTGCGATGGCCGAGTACCGGCGCAAGATATATGCACTCCTAGCGCGCATGAACCACTTTCGGGTCTCTGTGCGCGTTCGCGCACCGGCTGTGCAGGACTACCTTGACGAAGTCGTACCACTGGTGAAGGAGATGACACAATCATTCCGCGAGGATCCGGACCGCCGCTCCCTGTTTGACCGGTTCCGACGGTATGTGGAGCAGGAGGAGAAGCGGCTGCGTGAGGGTCTGGAGATGGCGAAGTATGATTTGGACGCACTGGAAACGCTTGCGCTCATCAATGGATCAACAGGGTTGGAGAGAGTAAGTCCATTCGCACTGAGGATGGAGGCTGAGAAGGGGCGCTGATAGCCGTTGGGCAGAATCTGTTCATTGTGCTATATCTACTTCTACGCCGACACCACGATATCATGGCGGCGGGAAAGAAGGTCATTCTCCATCCCAAAGAACTCTTCGATGCAACGAGCGCGATACAGCTCGTGAAGGATGCGTTCGATTATCGGGCTCAGGACTTAATAGGTAATCTGACGCTCCCCGTTTGTAGTGCTGGCAAAGCAACGTCTGATCCTACCGTGCCCAGGTCTGTTCACCCAGCGACGCTTGCCGGTGGATCTAGAGTTGAGGGACTTTGCATGTGGAATGGTGCGTGTCCGCGACTACATAATATGGTGCTCGCGCCCAGCTTATTTGTCACCCTCAGTTGTTGGACTCGTACAAAAAGGGAGGGAAAATATACAGCCACGATACCGATGACTGGGCCGAAACGTTGGACGTTGATCTAGGCGAGACGAGAGACTGCCCGCCGGAGGCGATGTTGAAGTATACCCCGTATCTCGAGGAGTTCTACCCGCAAGGCGAGGACGATACCGACGGTGAGGATACCGAGGTCAATGAAGACTTGAAGCCACTGTGAGCAACTTTCCTGTAACGTTTCTGGTAGATCAGAAGAAGCTGATATGTGCAGCCTCGGGCGCTGGGCTGGGGTAACAACATCGGTGGTTGACGGAACATTGTCCCATCGATCCTTCAATTTTAACTTCCACATCTCCCCTTCCGATAGGAAACAAGTCATCGCTGCCCCTCCTCTCACTATGCCGGAGCCTTATGCCCATGCGACTCTGACGGGCACGTTCACGGGTCGCGACCAGGAGGACCACCACCGCACGTATATCATATCCAATGCCTACAACACCAGCGCGCTCCCGGTCGGCTACCTAAAGGTAGTGCTGAGCGAAAACGGGACCACTCTAGATAACGAGAAGAACGCCGCACTCTCCTTCAGCACATCGGCATCCGATCTCAATCTTCCCCGCGTCGTGATCAAGAAGGGATCCTCTCCGGACATCATGCAGTTCTACCCCCTGCCTTCGGAGCTAGAAGGCAACAAGGCCTCTGCTCTGTGGCGGTTTGCCATCTCCGCTGTGCTGCACGAGGTCCGCCGTCGACGACTCTCGTGGGGATTCATCAAAGAGCGTCGGGACCGGAAACACCTCCTCGCGTCGCTCCTCCTCGCCGAGCTGCAGAATGGCTCGCTCCACGCAGACGATGTGGCGGAGCGCGTGCGGCTGGCTAATCAGACGACCCCCGCGGACCTGCACTACTTTTCATACGCGAGCGTCGAGCCGGCCAGGTTTCCGTGGGTGCTTCCATGGTGTGCGGAGTGCAAGCGGGTGCTGAGAACGGCCGTGCCGTGCTTGCGCTGTGCAGTTTGCACCCCCGGGCCGCCTGAAGAGGCCGTACGCGGTGTGGCGCTATGCGTTCGCGCGGAATGTCTGAGGAGCCATCTCAGCGGTGGAGTCCACCGCATCTTGAAGACGAGAGAGGTCGGGTGGGCACTTGATGCGTCCAAGGCGGACAATCGCTTAGATGAGGGAAAGCTGATGGTGTTGTACTATCGGGCGGCGGACACGCTCGGAAGAAGGGGCGGAAGGTTGCCTTCGCCAACAGGAGGCCGGTCCCCCGCACTTTCAACCATCGCGGAGGTGACGGGCGAGTCAGAAGAGCTACCAACTTGGGGACGTTCAGAACCAGGACCCGCCTTCCGAATAGGCCTCGATGGATTTCCACTACCTGCGGGATTTGTGCCACTACGAAGAGGTAGTCCTCGGGAGAATGACGCGACGTTGTCTCCGTTCCATATCGGCTCTTCGTCTGAGCCAGTGCCCGGTCTTTACGGGCACGCTATTCAGGATGCTAGCGCAGAAGAAGTCGCCGCGTCGAACGAGGACCCTTCTCCCAGTCCACGATGCATTGGATGCGATGCACCAATCACCACGCCCACTTGGGTGTGTGTGGAATGTTCAGGTGATCGGTTTTTATTTTCAGCTCGTGGCAGTGGACTGACTGCTTCCTTGCACATAGATCCGACGTACGTCTGTCTCAGCTGTGACGAGCGCGAGGGTGGGCTTTCACTCGGGTTGCACGAAGCACCCCATATACTCCTCCGGATCGAGGCGCCAGTCCCAGACTTCCCTAGCCGTCCAAGGATACTCCCGCCTCCAACATCACCCGCTTTCATGCCTTATAACACCTGGCAAAACTCAGATGGGCAGGGTGTTAGCGAGGCGAGGATACGTAGAATGGAGGATCGTATGGAGAGAACACTCTGGGGTATTGAGGATCATCTTTGGATTAACAAGGACAGTGTAGACGATCATCTGTGGAGTGTTGATGACCGTCTCTGCAGTAGCGAGGATCGGCTTATGGCAATCGAGAAGCGGATGGAGGCGCTCGAGAACAAGTTCACTGACGGTATGGCGCGGATCGAACATATGTTCACCACTGTACTGTCTTCTCTCCACCGTAGCGGCTCACCCTCTGACTAGTTTGTGATTCCGAGGCGATACTTGAACTTTTACAGGCCCGGGGCAACTTTGTACTACGAGTAGTTTTCGAACATGTATCAGACTGGAAGTGCCGTATGGTATATACCCTACTATGTATGGGCGCGTTGGGTAGATGTAGATATTAACCTATCACTTAATTACCAGCTAGAGGCATAGCGAAAGGCCCCACAATAACACAATATAAGAAGATCTCGGCATCTCTGTGGTGTTAGCAGATGACGCATCTGCCAGGCCTGAGACATGTCCACGGGCTGCTGGAGGCATGTACATCCGTCTGGCGAAAAACGCCTGGTTTACAAGCCGAACAATATGTGCTCGACTTTGACGTCAGTACCCTACCGCACGTCCCGCACGGGAGCAGCAACCACGGGAACTTGTCTGGCTCCAGCGCCGCGTGCGCGCAGAAATGCACATCCGCGGGTGTCGCGAGCCCAAGGAGCCGTGTGCACTCTGCAGCGTCGTCGGAGGGGAGCGCGGTGCCTTTGGAAGATACGGCGTGCAGGAGGGAGGCTAGGCGCTGCTTGCGACCCCTGCGCTCCCGAAGGAAGTCCCACGAGAACAGGCGGCGGCGGACGTCGTAGAGCACGGCGTCGAGTGCGAACCGCCAGAGAGCGGCAGGTTTATTCTTCGCGAGAGCTGAGGGCGTGGGGTAGAAGAGCATGGTTTCGGGGGACACTCCTTTCTTGAATACGACGTACGGCTTGGGACCTGGGGTTGTGAAGGCGGCTGAGACGTCTTGCTCCCCGACGAGCGTCGTCCCGTCTGCGTCTAACGTTGCTTTGAAGTAGCTGGGGGCCACCGCGCCGCTGTTGCAGGTGGTCGCGATGAGGTACGTGCGCTGGCCGCCGGCAGTCACTTCCAGAACTTCGCCCGTTGTCGTTTGCACGGTGCACAGCCGCGATTGAAGGAGCCGGGAGATGGCGACGACTTTGCTGGAGTCTGCGGGCGAAATGTGGAAGGTGAACGTGAAGACGTCACGGTGCAGGGTTTTGTCTGCTTCGTGTGTTCGAGAAGCGACCCAGTAACCGAGACTATCATATGAGAAGCAGTTCGTACAATCAGAACTTTTGTCCTTTGGGTCGAGAAAAAGCAAGGCTTACAGAGGTCTCAGGTCTTCTATGATATCTGTGCCTTCGCTCTCAACGCCATCGTCGCTCTCTGGATAGAAGTTCTCGAAATGGGGAGGATACTTCAATATCGTGGCCTGCGGTGGAGTGCGTGTAGTTTCGTCGAGGCCGTGGCTTTCGGCAGCTATCCGTTGTATGTAGGCCGAACCAAAGTACTTCGTGAATGACGGCGACAGCTACATTCCGACGCAATGATAAGATCATCGTGCATTAGACGTGCACGACATAAATCTGTCTCACCATGCCACATGCGAAATCGCCGAGTTCAAGATGAACATTCAGCCGTCGTTGGGCGAGTAAACCTAACATGTCAAAACATCAATATTTATCGCTGCTCAACTCCACAGAGGGACGCTGGATCTGAACCTGTAATGACCTGCACCCGATAGTTGAATGCGTCCTGCACAAGCGTCATAGTCTCCGCGGCGTCTGAGAGCTCATCGGGGTGAAGGATGACTGTCTGCGCGAGTCGCATGATGTCGTAGTGTCGGCGCAGCAGAAGATATAGGATAACAAAGAGACTCTGCCGTGACGCTGTCAGGCTCGGTGGATGGATGCTTACACAAACCGAGACGAGGGAAGTGGGTACTTACTCGCTCGAGGCCCCACCGCGAGCCGCTGATGAGTGCCAGGGTATCCAAGGCATCCAGATCGTACTTCGCCGTTTGCAGGCCTTTGCTGATGCGTGCCTCCTCCTGAGTGGTATACTCCTGAAAGTGGCGGCTAACGCGGTGAAGCTGCGTGTCCTCGCGGAAATTGTCGGTCATGGTCTGCACCAGAGACGTGACTGTTGAAAGGTAGGAGGCCGCCGCATCGCGACGGGAGCGCACGAGAGGCTGGGCTTGGTGCATGAGTGTGAGGAGCGCCCAGATCTTGCGCCGATACTCCGTCATCGAGGCCTGCCAGCCGACTGCCCAGTACGCGAACCATCGCAGAAGGCTGTTGGCAAGCTGAGTAAAGTCTTGGATCTGCACCGGTGAAGCAGGCCATACCTCCATCCGCGGGGCCGAGAAACCGTGAATCGATTGACTTCTTGAATGGTGACGAAGCCGGAGGAGTCGCTGTCTAGAGCCTCGCTGATGTGATGTAGGTGCATGAGGTCGATGTACTCGAGCGCCCATAGCTCGTTCTCGCTGATAACAAGCTGCTGCTGCGAGCGGCGGTCGAGGGCACGCTGCTGATCATCGAGCCGCTGCGTGTAGTAATCGTGGATGGCGAGCACGACGTGACGCGCTTTGACAATCCCGCGCCATCGCTGTCGTTGAGTATTAGCGACTACTGGTCGGAGTGCTAGACTGCCATATTGCTCACCATATCCTTCCATATCTCGTACATGATCTATGCATCCGTGCGTCAGCTCTCCAGTCTTTGAATGTGTCCAGTCTGCACGCAAAATGAACACATACTGGGTCTATGATCTTCTCGTGTGGACCGTCTAACACGGTTCTGATTACACGATCGCCTTCATGGACGATCACATCCGTCAGCTGCGCTACAGTCTCCTGCTGCTGGATGAGAAACCTGTGCTCAAACGTCTCGAGATTCTTGCGGATGGCGACCGCAGGCTCGTCCGCGAGGTCCGCCATCAGCTGATCGACTTCCCAGTTCGTCTCCAATACTGGTAGATACGGGGCCTCCTCTTCGCATGAGTCCGCCCATGGGTTAGATGTAGAGGCCTCAGGGACCGGCCGGCTACCGACTGCGTACGCGGCGGTGTAGGAAGGCCCACTGTATGTGAACGGAATATCGGTCGCCGGAGGGACGGGGTCGTCGGGTCGCCAGGTCGATGCCTCATCGTAGGGCGTGGCATATGTAGTGCGGGGCCCCCGTGGTGGGACAGACCGCACGCGCGATCGCTGATGCTCGGCCGCGCGGGGGTAGTAGTAGGCGGAATACAACCCGCTAGGGGCAGTATCCATGGCGGGCCCTACGTACGAGGGGATGACAGGCGGTTCTGGGTATGCGGGAATGCCAGGTGGTCCTTGGTACGAGGGGATGATAGGCGTAGGCAGGTACGTCGTATCGCCAGAACTTTGCCCGGGGTACCCCATAGAAATGGGTCCTGTATATGGGGGGACGAAGGCAGACCCAGGATACGGGGCGAAAAGTCCCGGTCTAGCCGGCGGGGGAATGCGAGGGGCGCCAGGGGGATCAGAGGTAGGCTGTTGGCCGCCTTCTAGGAGCTGCTCCTTGCGAAGGAGTTCTTGCAGTATGCGAGGATTGCCGAGTACGGCCTGCGTTCCGCCTCCTTGACGGATGGCGTCTGCGAGTGTTTGTTGTTCGCGTGAAACCACCTTTTCGAAGAACTCAACAACGATCTCTATTCTGTAGCAGGAGAGATAATTCGTCATTGTGCGAGCAGTGGCTTATGCTGGAGAATACAGACTTTGTTAGCAGCACATCCAGCTTGTCGTTCGCATCGTCGATGCCAATTCCAGTATGGATGGAGATGGCGAAGTTGAACTCGCCCTTGCGGTCGTTGAACCGCTGGATATACTCCTTGAGCGTCCCGTCCCAGCTGGGTGCCTTGAAGACCTTGACGAGCAGGCGCTTGCGCGAGTAGGCGTCGCAGGCGTTCGCGCACTCCTTAATATCTCTAGCGGCATCTTCCGACGCCTCCTTGAGGCGAATATTGATAGTGAGACCGTCGCGGGCGACATGGCCCTTGCGGACTCCCTGTAACCTAGCAGGGGGACTTAGAGGCGATGCTGCAGAACGATGGTATAAGACTTACTGCAGAAGCGCGGCCATCATATTCCTCATCTCGAGGAAAAGAAGGGTAACCTTCTTGTCATTGTCGCGCCGTTTTACCTCAAGTTCGACAACAACCTTAAACGCACCCACAGCAACTGCGGGATACGAGAGTCAGCCCCGAGGTCCTCGGAAAGCAATCGTGTACATAGAGAGGCACTCACTGGCGAGGAATGGATGGATCTGGGCCACGGCATCGAGCGCGCGCACCAGCGGAGGTAGGCTGTGGACAAGCGAGTCGACTCCGTCCAGGAGGACGCTCAGACCATCACTATTACTAGAAGCCTGTCCTGCATCATTGACGGAGCGTACGAGCTTGTCTTCGATTCGAAATGTAAGTGGTCAGTAAAACGAGCAACTGGGGTCGTTCCTTTTGGGGATGACGGTACCTGCGCGGCGCGATTCGCGGGGCTCTGCAGCTGTGGTGAGAGCTCGCTGAGCGTCTTCGAGAGTCACTATTGGACTAGATGAAGGAATTGCACTAGTGGTGGTTAGGTCTAGCATCATTGGCTGTGGCCAAGACGTAGGGGAACGGGGACCACCGTTGGATTGACAACAGCCGCGGAGTGAGAAATTGCAACCACATGGGCGTTCCAAATGCGCGACTAGTTGAGGGATGGCGCCGATTTTTTCGAGCTACTCATCCCATGCTAACACTGAAGACACTCGGCGCAATTTGAGAGATAGTCAATGGGACCAGCGCAGTTGCCTGGAACTTGAGGCAGTTGGGAGAGTCGAAGACAGAGGCGCCCATGCTTGTTCCTGAGTGCCATTGGGCGCTAACGTGGATCTTCCTGGACCTGGACCACGATCGACCACGATGTTGCACAGCGCGCCCAGATGCGTCCTGACACTGTCTCTCCGCGATGTTGTTTATTGCCGGTAGGTGTATCAGGAACGCTGAGCAGCACTACAGTGACACGAGACGTCCTGGGTTTTTACGTCGCGCGCTAGGCGACAGCCAGGGCGCGCCCGAAAAGCAGTGTTTCCAATTTCGCTACGCCCGACGGTTTCACAGATTTCAAATCCTCATGTGGCCAGCATCACGTATACCCGCTGCATACCGTCCCATTGACGTCTGTGCCTTGTCGACGTCGCTCTCCAGAGGTCAGTCCTCTCTTACCGTGCCTCCTACACTATGCCTCTCATTCGTTGACCTCCTTCCGCCAACCACTACTAGCTCGCGCCGGTCGCTCATATACCCAGCCATACGCAGGATGTCATCGGATATAGTGACCGTTGACGACCTCAGCGAGTCGCCTCCGTTTGAATACTCCGACGTTGCGTTCGAACCAATCCCAATTCCGGGCGACCCCGCCATATGGGACGGATATGTTCATGTAGCACGGGAGCAAGGTCTATCGGCGACATTGCAATTCACAGGTATGTCACGCCGTTTGCGTCTGATCTCGAAACCAGACGGTATAAATGGTTTTCGAGGCTTTGTCCGCCTCGGGGAGGGGCAAATCCGCGCAGAAGGCCCGCCGGGTTAGACTTCTTGCTCTTGCTATGCTTTGTCACGAATCGTCTTTAATATCGTCTAGTGACGAGACCGGTTTGTCCTCATTCATGGCCGATCGAGGGCGCTCACATGGTTGGACCACCCACAGGTTCACAAATCTCCGTCTTCGGTCGCGTCGACCCACCACAGAATGGCGCAGAGCCTCCCCTCTCGCTATACAGTGTCGGAGACACAAAGCTCCAAGCCTTCATCCCCGATGTCGTCAACGCGTCCGTGGACAATGTCGCGTTCTTCAACTCGAGCATCATGCCTTACGGCGTGTACACGCTCACCATCAATGTCGCCCGCGCAAGCGCCGACTCTCCATTTTACCTCGATTACGTCCAGTATAACACCACCGACCCCAGTGCTGCATCCGCCGAAACTACCTCTGCAAGTATCAGTTCTACTAGCTCTACCGCAGAAGCGACGACGAGTGCGCCCGCACCTGCGAATCTAGCGTCATCATCCTCTACCCCGGTCGGGCCTATAGTGGGCGGCGTGGTCGCAGGTGTAGTGGCTATCTCGGCAGTCATCATCGCGTTCTTATGCTATCGCATGCGGAGACGAAGACCTGGAGCCAGAGCGCCTCTTTCGCCCTTGGAAGCCGCAAGTCGTATGTCGTTCCCCCTTACGCAATATATCCCTGAGGACTCACCGCGGTATCTTGTTTCTACAGCTTCGGCTTCACGCATCACCCCATACGTCGTCCCCGCACACGCGCGCTCGCAAAGCCGCTTCAGCGAGGGGCAGCTGGCGTCCACCTCCGCACCGTACTCCCCGGGAATGCGCGAGGTCGCCGGCGCCAGCGCGTACTCGCTCGGCGCGTCCACATCCGCCGGGGAGACCGCGAAGGGCTACTACCCCGGCTCTGGCAAGGGAGCGCGCGCGTCCCCAGGGCCTCAGAACCGCCAATACAACACCGCGTCCCCTGGGGCGTCCGCGTACGCCACGAGTAGCAGCGGTGCGGCGTCGTCTTACGGTGGGCCTGGGCCGGCGAGCGCGTTCGGAGGCACCCACTCAAATACAAACTCGAACTCGCGCGCGCACGCGTCGCCGTCCCCCATGTCGAGCGTGCATGACCTGCCGAACTTCGTCGGGCGCGGGGGCGCGGGGCACACGAAGGGCCAGCGCTCGGAGGCGGAGGCGCTGCTCGCGGGGTCTGAGCTGGGTGAGGGTGTTAGTTTGGGGGCGGGTGGGGGCGTGCAGGAGGACTCGGGGGTGCGGTTTGAGCCGGGGGTGACGCCGTCGGACGTGGCGCCGGTGCTGCCGCCTGGCGCGGTGCCGATACGGTCGGCGGCGACGCGCTCGGAGGTCGCACGCGCGGATGTGCCGCCGGCGTATACGTTTGATTGAGCTTTGTGGTGGGCGCGAGGTGGGAGTATGTGTTGGTATGGGACCGTGACTGGTGCCGGGTTCTTGACTTTTACGATGTAGCCTAATGTTCAGCTGTCTGGTCCTCTTACTATAAGTCCTGGTATGATGTTCTTATTACTTGGCTTTTGGTGGCAGTTGATGTACTCCCCGCGAAGAAGATGTCTCTCCATTGGCGGCCCTTGTGCATCGCAGCGCACGAACGGGCCATACTCCTGCGAGGCTCTCCTAAGGACTCCCTACAACATAACCAACGACGTGTATGCACCCCACTGCAGCTCTGCCTCCGAGTGCCAGCTGCCTGCACGCTGGCAGGGTGCTGCCATGCATAACCATGCGCGAATGACCCAGGACAACTACGGCGTTTGAGGTGGGTATTTGTATAGCTCGCTTCAAACTCGCATTGTATGTTCTACAGCATACTACCGGTGGACTACGATGTCTATCTAGTTGCAAGATGTAGACCTACTTACACACATTCTCTTTTTCCTCCTCGGCCTGACGTTGCAGTCCCCGGGCTATGGCAGCGAGTGCTGGCAGCGCTAATTCAAAGCAGAGCTCGCGTGTCCGTTCGTCGCCCATCACAAGTGTAAGTATGGCTGACGCGTTTGCATCCACCGTGAGCGTAAGGTCGGCGCTAGTGAGGGACACATCACGGTTGTAGAGGGCTCGAGCTATCTTGACGAATCCAGGCATCATGGAGTATGCCCATCGAAAGAAAACTGCGTCGGATAACAAGCCCAAATCTGCAGCAGCCCGGATCGAGTGGGCGACAGGCAATAGGTGGGTTTGATTGGAGAACAGGAGGATGTCGTATGCGATGGATGTGTTTGTCAGGGAAGGTAGTGTGTCGAAGACGTCAATTGGGGGCACACAGGGCGGGATCCATATGTCCGAATCTATCTGTTCGACCTCCTGCGAGTGTGAAAGCGGCGGCGGAAACGAACTCGGACGGCGTACGGTAGCGAGCTGTGTTGCTGCTACGTACATGCGCACCGCACGCTCATAGGCGCGGCCGTGAGGATGCGGTCTATGGCTGGGCTGGCGGGAGTTGTGTACGAGGTAGATCGTGCGCATGGTGACGCTTTCCCGAATCACCGGCGGGAGCAAGTGGCAGAGGAAGCCGCCACGGCTGCGGCGAAGCTGTCGTTCTGAGGCCTCCTGTGCGTTACCAGAAGGACACATGTTGTGCGGGAAGGTGGGGGTAAATGCACCGATGCGATGAAGGGGGGACGTGCCCGCGTTGATGGACCTGCCGAGGTAGAGACAGAGGAGGCTGTCCGGAAGTCTCAAGTGCTGGCAGGCGAGGACGGCAAAGAAAGCGATATCTGTGTGGGTGCGCGCAGGGATAAGAGGGAGAGTGGCGCGGACACCGAAGCCAGTGATGTGCGTCTCCACCGAGTGCGCCGGGAGTTGCAAGCCCAAGAACTCGGGCCTGAGAGACGGGGACGATTGCTCCTGCGTCGGCGAAGCAGTCCGGGGAGGGTGCGAGCAGCCGCCCGGAGCAGGCGGAGTCGTGAGTGGACTCTTGCGCGAACGTGTCGCTCGGGCAGGGCTGGAAGGTCTGCACGGACAGCACATCGTACAGGTCGAACACGCCCCATGCGAAGAGACTGGTCAGGGGAACAGCACTTCAAAATCTCCTCTTGCAGCCTGTTAAACGCCTTCTCCAGGCCTTCGCCGTAGAGGGCTACCATATTGACGCCAAAGATCCCCATGAGCGAGTATGCGCGGTCTTCCGGGCGCGTGGTGCACCTCCGCGCTGCCCAAGCCATTCGGCACGCGAGGCTGATCTTGTGCAGCGACCGGAAGAGCGTGAGTACTTCCAGGTGGATGCCAGTAGCACGGTGGATGGCGGATGCCCAGGAGTGTTTTGTTCCTATGACGGTCCACTCGGATGAGACGAAGAGGAGGAGGCGGGGCGCAAGAAGCTCTTGGAGGGTCCAGCCGCGGGTGAACCAGAGGCTCCCGACGAAGTTCTCCTCCAGGTCGTCGAGCGCCATGCGCGTATTGTCTGTGGGGACGGGGACGTCGTGGAGGTAAGCGTAGCACACGACAGCATCCTGGTACCAGCGGAACATAGAGTTCAACGCCTCCGAGAGCTCGCTGCTGCTGGTCTTGTCGATGCAGCAGGCATCAAGCCAGGCCCATTCATACCCTTCCGCCCTCGCGAACGCACAGAAGCGGCGGACCTTCTCTGGGGCGACGGATAGCGGGTTGGGATGGGCGCGAAGGGCATGGATGTCCTGGTAGGACGCCTCGTCGCCCTGCCAGACGTGGGAGAGGATGGCGTATGGCGGGTGGGTATCGGGGTTGGGGAAGTGCATGATCCGAAGCGTGCCGGTGTTGAGGAGACGCATTGTTGCGGCTAGCGTCTTTGGTGGTGGAATGGTCAATATCGCTCAGCCGGATAGCTTTGAGCAAGAGGTCGTACTCACCTTGGCTGGTACAAGGAAAGGGCCATGCACGACTAACTGTTGGGGCAGTGAAGATATACACGACTCTTTCCCCGGAAACCACATACAGGGTGACTGAACTCAAAGGAGCGACTAGGCGGTGCCGTAGATCCATTGCTGTGTACATGCGTCCTATTGCCACATAAACCTTTGCTCGCGAAGATGTTACGTTACACGCTGTGGTGCTGTGTGTAGACCCCTCCCCTCATCAGCGAAATACCAGTGCAGTACACACAGCGCACGCGCCGTCAGCGCAAAGAGAGATAGAGAAAAGAAGAAAACAAGCATCGTTGGCAGCTACGTACGCGTAGATTAGATCAGTGGGCGTGCAAGCGTCCCGTCCCGCGCTCTCTTCTCCGCCATTTTCGTACACCCCGTGCCCTCCTACTCTCGCCTCCGCCGCACCAGCCGGCACCAGCAGCACCTTCCCCCACCCCGCGCAGTCGTCGACAGGTCGTGATAAGCGTGAATCGTGGCAGAGACGTGGCGTGACGCGTGCCGGCGCTCACTCGCTCTCCTGGATGAGCGCGAGGATCATCCTGCGCAGCGGGTCAGACGCGTCAGTCATGGGCGCTAGATAGTAGGAGGGGGAGAGGGAAGGAGGGGGGACGCACCGGTAGAGGTAGTAGAAGAAGCTGAGGAGGTAGAACCCGAGCTTGAAGAAGCTCTCCTTCTTGTGGTTCGGGAGCGTGCGGAAGATCTCGGTCGCGTCGTACATGTGGTTGCCGCCCCGTATCCTGCACGTGGCGCAGTCGGTCAGTCACTATCTCTCGTTTGCCCCTTCGCTCGCTCAATACACGCGAGTACGACAACGGCAGAGGGGAGGTCGAGAGATGGGTAGAGGCGAGGACGCACTTGTTTATATTGTACGCGAGCAGGGGTGCGTTGAGGAGGAACGCTATCCATTGGCCGGACAGAAGGAAGAGCAGGGAGAGGAACGCGTGCGCGATGTTCTCGGGAAGGACGAACTGGCGGCAGACGCGCTATTAGCTGTGTCCGAACTCGAGAACGAGGATAGGGCGCACCTGGTTGAGCTTATTACAGAGGTCTATCGGGTTGATGTAATCGCACTCGAGGTCGGAGAACATGATGATCTGTGTGTTGGATCCACAGAGATGAGCGGTGCACGAGCAACGAGCCACAGACGAGAGAAACGCACGAAGAAGACCATGGTAAACAAGAGTCCAGCGGCCATGAGGACCGAGAAGAGGAAGAGCCATCCTGGGTGTCCAGACGAGCGTCGGCACGCGCACACGAGTCAGGACCCAACCGTGAATTTGGGGTGTCCCACGACGGCAAGCGGTACGTTATTTTTTCGTGTGTGAGCGGGCGAGAGTGAGAAAGGCAGGATGTGTTCCACGGAAGCAATAATTCGAGGCCGACGTCAGCTCGATATCCTGCACGAGAGGTGGGAAACGGAGAAGACTGACCTGCGCCACCCATCGTGATCTAGAGCGCACTAAATTCTACAACAAGCAATATTCGCAGAGCTGCTGGTGCGCGACAGTGAGTCGGACGGCGGCGAGGGAGGAAGAGGACGAGGAGGAGGACGAGCGCAGGCCAGACGCCCGCTGCCAACACTCCTCCACCTGTCACGCCGTCCTCCCGCCTGCCGTAAAGTCACACATGGTAACGGACCGCGACAGTCACGGTCACACTCTACCAGCCGCCTGTTGCTGCTGGCAGTCGCTTGGTTGCGACCTGCCGCGACTCGCGAGCCACGAACATCAGCTCGCATAGCCTATGTGTTTTGTTTGAGAGCATTATAGTGGTATGTACTTTATTTCTTTGCTGCACTAGAGCTCTATATTCCCGACAAGTCCCCACATTGTGCTGGCTGGAGTCAAAACACGCGCTGCTTGCTCACTCTTCATTCAGTGTTCCGCACCTGTTTGTCTGTATCGCTCTGGTTCAAATGACGCTGTACATGCCCTTCTGGATCTACCGTTGACTTAGACTCTATATCCAAATGGATCCTCGTCGCTTTCTGCCTACTCTGGGCCTTTGTTCCATCTATAGCTGTGCAGGCCTATCTAGGGGCTTGAAGCTCAGTGGTAGCTGGCAACGCCCTTTGCTTTGCGGTACACGGCGCTAATTCGAACAGGTGTTACCGGCGATACCTTGATGTGCCTCACACGCTCACCAGCATCTTCGTCGACGACGGCCCGAACGTCGCCAACGCGAGCCTTCCGTCAACGCGGAGCGACTGTGGCCTGCCACCTGCTTGCTCAGTACGTCTCCTTCCATAGTTCCCGCAAATCTTCACGCTACTTCCTGACGCGCTGAGCACATCCCGCCACCGCCCAAACTGAATGAGCCGGCATGCTGTCTGCGCGCTGAGTATCTTCAAGGGCGGGTCGCGGACGAGCCATGGCAGACGCCGCAAGCGGGCGGACAGTGACGGAGTGCTGCGGCCGACTCGAGATCTGGTGCATGGACGAGTGGGCGTCCAGATTCGTCGGTCCGTTGATCTATGGGTCCACGTCGGCCGGTAGGGTAGAGGCCGTTGGGTGGTCGGATCGCGGGTCTCTCTTTTGCTGTGATCCCGTATATATTCACCGCCGCACCTGGTGTACAATTTTGGAACCGTATCTACCAGGGAATTCCCGCTGGCCTGGGTACGTGACCACATCCCCGAGCAGCTCTTCCAACTTGCCTCGCCCAACATCGATGCTGACCATTTGTTCTAGGCAGGTGGTTCTCTCGTCTCGCCCTTGTTACCGTTATCTATCCACTGGCCTACCCTTCGTCAGCCCTCGTTATCGACTCAGAGCCCACGCTCTTTGCTGCCATAGTCATTGGCAAGTCCGATGGACATCGGAGGTCAAACACCGCCCGCCCCTTCTTCGCCGTCCAGTGCGCAGCCATCAACGTGCACTGATGTGTGTTTGACAGTACTCTACTACGCCATGTCTAGGATCTCGTTCAGGCCAGGATGCTCAGCCTGAGGTAGGCACCTTCTTTGCCTGATATTGGGTTGCCGGACTGAAGTCTTGGGTCTTGTTCCTGGCATGCGGCATCGGATGCGGTGCGGGAGCCGCCGATAATGTGGCCTTGGGGCGATACTGGTGGCGGCGAGAAGCAGACCGGTATTAGTGTTCTGGCTTCTCTTCACGGTGTCGTGCGGATGCAGGCGGTGCTCGGTGGGCTTCATCATCGATGGTTGCGTTTAAAAGCCTCTCCCGTGTTTATGCGAAGGTATTGTACGCCGTTCTATCCTTGAAGAGCTGAGCAGCACCTGAGAGGAGCACAGGCCGCGCTATAGTTTTGAAGACTGCCAAGGTTTCCGGGCGCGGATGACGAGCGTCTTGCATCCACTGGTGGGACCTGTGCCCGCACAGGTTGAGAAGTGCTTCCTGGCTGCGGCAGGCTGTATTGTCGTGACTCGAGATCCAAATTTACCGCACTGCCCAATAACGTCAAGCTCGAGCCACTCGAATACCCCGAAAAAATTGCCAGTCGTTACACTGCTCTCTCGCACGCCTGACAGGATGCCGGCAATCCGAGGAGATCCTTCGGTCAGTTCACGAGGATGCATAAGTGAGCGACCCGAAGTGTAACCGTCTTGCGCGAGTCTAGGGCCCCCTCCAGTGGCATTGGGTCGACGCTCGGAGGTGGCTTGCGTCGACTAGAGGGGCAGCGTCGAGCCAGAACTTGAGCGAGTACGCGGAGTCGTCTCGCTACCAGTAGCTGACTGCGAGCCGCACCAGGCCACATCATGCGCTCGCTGTCACCGGCCGGGTCCGGGCCCGGCGGCGCGCACACAGTGCGCCGCGGACACCTGGATCGCGCGCCCTAGCAGTGGCAGGGCGGCGAGAGCAAGTACGTGCAATGCGGTGAAAGAGTACATGTCATGTGCGGAGGCTCTGAGTTTTTCCCGTGCATGGGCTGTGGTAGATATATTCCGCCACAAGGTGTGTCGGTAGGTAGTTGAGATGGTGCATTTTCTGATACAGTGGCAGGCAATACAGTGAGGCTAAAGCATGAGTCAAGGTCAAAGAGTGCGCGGGGGTTTGGATGAGCGGACAGAGGAGCGGTATCGCTTTCCATGTCCAAGTGTACAGCAGGGTGGGTATGGGGTGGTTGGGCCTGCACCGTGCGGTCTGAGGAAATGAAGTGTTCGCAGGACCGGCTGAGCCAGCGCATCGAGCGACGAGTGAAATGCCGTAGTTCAGATGCGATATTTTTTCGAAGAGTTATGAGTCTACCTACGGTCGGGAGTGTCAGAGTCTGGGTATGGGCGAAGGTAGGCTCGTATTTTGTATGACGGCGAGATGCCCAAGAGAGAAGAACGCCGACGGAGACGTCGGAGAGACGGCAGCGGAAGGTGCTGAGGACGCCCTCGTTAATGCCCATGACCTCCTCCAAAACGCCCGCGAGGTCTACCTTCTCTCTGATGATGATCTAGTCCTCGACGAGTAAGACAACACGTGGAGGATGCTTTTGTACAGAGAGTAAGGCTTAACGCGGCAAGGTTGAGGCAACGGAACGGACAGAGCCCGCGCAAGGACTCCGTACTGTCGAGAAGCGCACGTCTCGCGCTTATCTCGCTGCTCCGTACTGTCGAGAAGCGCACGTCTCGCGCTTATCTCGCTGGAGAGGTCTCGGCGCTGTTGCTCGCTGTTGTGTTCTCTGTCCAGACACGGACACGGATTTTGTCCCGAATCAGCGTACAGTACGCGTCAATCCGCGCTATTGCCCTCTCTTTGGACACAAAATGCAGCCGCGCGTGAAGCCCGCGCGAATTGACGCGTACTGTACGCTGATTCGGGACAAAATCCGTGTCCGTGTCTGGACAGAGAACACAACAGCGAGCAACAGCGAGACCTCTCCAGCGAGATAAGCGCGAGACGTGCGCTTCTCGACAGTACGGAGCAGCGAGATAAGCGCGAGACGTGCGCTTCTCGACAGTACGGAGTCCTTGCGCGGGCTCTGTCCGTTCCGTTGTCTCAACCTTGCCGCGCTTACTCTCTGTACAAAAGCATCCTCCACCATGAGCTCCCAAGCACTCGTCACCCATTTCCGCCTCACTAGCCTCTCACTAGTCAATGTGAGTGCTCTCTTTCTTGCCCCCAAAAGAGCCGCCATCAAACTCAGGCTCACGATATTATATGTCCTGGCGTACTTACTAGCCCGCATGCGGCTAATATCTACGGATCCCCACCTGCGTGTCGGGCACTTCAACCTCCCGAGCGAAGTCGATGTCGGTTACGCCATTCTCTCGCATGTTTGGCGACATTCCGGCGAACAACCATACGCGGAGGTTCATCGGTTAGCACACGAGGGTGCCAAAGTGAGCGACCCGCGCTTGAGCACCAAGGTCCGGGAGTGCCACAGGCTTGCGCGAGCAAACGGCCTCCGCTGGTTTTGGGTTGACGCCCCCTGCATCGACCAGACAAACAGCGCGGAACTCTCAGAGGCGATCTCGTCAATGTACGAGTGGTATGCGCAGGCCTCGATTTGTTTTGCCCACCTCCCCGACGTCCCTCCCGATGACATCATCCGCGCTCCCGGCTCCGCGTTCCGGCGCAGCATCTACTTCCGGCGCGCATGGACGCTGCAGGAACTCATCGCTCCTCGCCGCGTCCTCTTTCTCTCCGCCGACTGGACCGTGCTCGGAGACAAGCAGGAGCTCGCAGACCTCCTGGAGGAGATCACCGGCATCGACCAGGATGTCCTCACCTTCCACCGCCCCCTTTCCGAAGTCTCCGTCGCCGTTCGTCTCTCTTGGGCATCACACCGCGACGCCAGCCGTCTGGAAGACAAGGCGTATTGCTTGATGGGCCTTTTTGACATTCATATGACTGCCTGCTATGGCGAAGGCGCGCACAAAGCATTCGGCAGACTGCAAGTGAAGATCTTGGAACGAGTCTGCGACCACACGCTTCTGGCTTGGGCCGGATCCCGAGACCCGCGCAACCCGTCAATCTGGCCCTTCGCCCCCTCCCCAGAGGCATTCACGCGAGAGTTTCGTCTGGTCGCGGTGGATATGCGGCGTTTCGTGGAGTCTATCAGGCATCTATGCTCAGTATCTTATCCAGGGCAGCCGGTGAGTCCCTTCGCCATTCTGTATCCAGGCCTAGTAATTGATGGGCGTCATCAAGCTTGTACCGTCTATTGGACCGGTCGACCATCACGGTTTGAGATGCCGCCTGCCTGTTCTCTGCTATGGATCAACGCCGCTTGCCGCGTTACTCGCTTGCCGGGAAGAACACTCACCGTCGACCTACATCGTGCTCGCTTTGCACAGCAACCCTTCTTTGCTCCGCGAAGTCTACAATGTGGCGGCACGGCCTCGATTAGTCCCCATCAACATGGACCTCATAGCTCGCAATATGACCACCCAGAGCTCGGCGCTGAACATGCGTTTCATGAGCTTCCATATCGCAGTCCTCGCTCCGCTGTCCCTTGCTCCCTCTCTCTCTCACGCCCTTTCTCTTTCTTCACACCTCCCCCCCAGGCCGGACACCGATGCCGATGCGGCTTCTAGATCCGATGCCCCTCGTTTCAAGGGCACCCTACCTCCGCCTCGACACTCGCATCCTCGCCTACATGTCGTCCAGCTCGTTCTCCGTACCATCCGGCTCATCTTCCACGCCATTCAGCGCAATCGCCGCCGCGCCGTCCAGCTCATTTACCGTATCATTCAGCTTCTCCGGTCTTCCGGGAATGGTGCGGTGGTGGCGCGACGGCGCACGCTACCGTGACGGATCTTCAGGATCGACCTCATTGCAGTGGCATCGATCATAGTGTCTGGTACCCTCGCGCCGTCGTCTGTCATGTCTCCGCCCGATACTCGCCTGTGCGCTTACTTCCCTGCCTCTCGACGTCTTCTGCCTCACGTCTCGCACGCGTTTGATGTGTACGGTGGATAGTTTCTGCTGACCTGTGCTCTTTATTACAATAGAGGACCATGACTGTATATTTCTCTCCTGCACTCTCCTCGTTCTGGTTTGCCGCACTCACCGTGTTTTATCCTGCTCTCTTCCCAACAATACCTCCCTGTTCTGTGCCTGCTGTTCTGAGATCTGCTGTCGACCTGTGGCTCTCTAGCGCTGTACACCGTGTACCCATCTCGCTGTTATTCGCTCTGCCCGCCTGCGTTTCCCTTTTGTATAGACATACTTGAAGCTCATCAATGGCTAGAAACTCCTCCTCGGCTACTGCTTTGCAGTACACTAGATTGACCGACACTTCGGGTCGTTCCCAATGCGAGCCGGACATCGATGACATCCTCCGACATCGGAATCTTCTATGTCATTGCCGTTCCAGTAATTTGGAGCCGAGGTGCGTACCACTTCTAGAAGAGGATCATGTCTATGCTAACGTGTACCGGTATAACTCAAGGGTGCCATTGCAGGCGTGCGGCGCGGTCGTGCGGCGTACCACGATGAATAAGCGGGCAAGCGCGAAAGATGGCTCGGACTATCAATCAGACGAGTGGGAGCGGCGCGGTGGGTTGTTAGGGATCACTGCATTGATACAATACACAGCTGATACGATGGCCGTGGTTATAGATTGCGCACCAGGCTCGCGAGAAATGCGCTCGGTTAGGAGACCAGTGGACTCGCCCGTGGTTCGGGCCAGGCAGTGCGTCTCTTTTTAGCTTCTGTCTGCATTATGTACGAGGAACTTACTCGATGATGAGGTAGAGACTCGCTGCGGTCGACTTGATCGACTCTCCACGGACCGCACCGGTGTCGCGCATTTGAAGCAGGACGTCACGCCCACCTGTGTCTTCGTGGATGCATCGACTCGACGGCCCACAGCAAAAGTCCAGCGCGCGGCAACGGTCCCACGCCGCCGGCGTCCCCAGTCATCTCCTTCCCCATGCGCCCGCAGGTCTTCACGGTGCGCGATTTGCGGGCTCGGATGGCAACGACTTGAAGCTGCCTGCGATGCGGATTATAGTGGAGGATCCCGCCACCGCAGACGCATCCGTGAGCGCGCGTTGCGGTGTAGGTACTGCATGTATGAAATTCGGGACGTCGAGGTAGGCAAAGTTCAAGGGCCGCCCTGCCCGCGACCGGGCATGCAGCCTGCAGAGTCAAGCACGATCTCCCGCTGCCAAATCGCGAGCTTGCGCGCGGACCACACAAGAGTCTTGCGATCGGAATCGCCACCGTGGATTCGTCCATCAGGTCCTGCCCCAGTTCAGGTATACTCTGACTCTGTGCCCTCCCGAGCATCCGATAGCCGCTCGTCTCTCCCCGTGTACCTGTACGGCCGCTCTCGCCGCGTAGAGCCCCATAGCTCCGTCGAGCTAGCGTACCGTACCCACACTCGCCTCCGCGTCGTATCTGCACGTCTCCACACCCGTTGGTCCTCCGCCGCCCATGGATAGTAGTACGTGCCCGGCCTCGCGCCCGCCCGTTGCGCATAAAGCCGCGCCGGGTCGATGTGTGTTCCGAGCGGGTTGTGTTCTGTGGCAGGAATCCCGATCGCGTCGAGCTGCTGCTGCTTGAATGGGGGAGGGTTTTCAGGGCGTCAGACTTGGCGAGCATGGCATAGACGCCGCCTTCCTGGCGGATGGCTTCTGTGAAGGCGAGGCGGCCTTTCGAAGAACACGATCACTACGTCCACCCTGCGCTCATCTGTCAGTATGCTGGACACACTCAGTGTATGAAGTACGCACCTGGTGATTAACGTATCCTTCCTGTCGTTCGCTCAGTCGACTCTGAGCCCGGCGCGGATGGAGGTGGAGGTTGAAGTCGTCGTCCTTGTGGCTGCTGAAACAACTGGATGTACCCCTTCAACATCCAATCTCGAGTCGGCGCCTTGATGGCCTTGACGAACAGCCGCTTATGAGAGTACGGGTCGCACGCGTTCGCGCACTCCTCGATTTCGCTCGCGGTCTTCTTCACAACGTTGTGGCAAAGCGCAGGCCGATGCTCAGTGAGCTCATCGCAGCCAGCGCGGTTTATGCGTACACCTTGGAGTCTGAGCGTGTGCAAATATACTATCAGCAAGGGCGTCTGGAAAGGACGTACTGTAGTAGCGCAGCGATCAAGCTGCGCATTTCGGGGCACAGCAGGGTGGTCTGCTTGTCGTTGTAACGGCACTTTGCCTCCGGCTCGATGACAACCTTGCATGCCTCTATGGGGACTGCCGGTGGAGGATTTGTGAGTCAAGACCTCTGGAGGACAAAGGAGAATCGTGCGTACTGGCGAGGAATGGGTGTCACTAGGCGTTGAGTGCGTGCGAGAACACGTCATGACGTCGATCAGTAGGTACTAGGCCCACACAATCGCTCCCGGCGGTAGCGTGGCCTGCTGCGTACGCCAAGTCCACGGAGGGGAACTCTTTCTCAAGCCTGTTCGGGCGTGACGTACATGAGATACGGCAGTTATGATAAGTAAGCGCAAAGGGATATGCTTACCCGCACGACCACTAGCAGGCATTGAAGCTTGACTGAGCGACGCCATGGAAGGCGTCCTGGGTATCCCCGAGTTCTGTAGATGACAAGGACCTTCTCTCCGTTACTCTCCATGGCTCGAGAGAAATGCTTTCCCTCTTCGCGGGTAGGTTTGGTGTGAGATGGTCATAGCGTGGACATCCAAGAACGCCCGTCAGAGAAGGTTGCGACTGGGGTATACAGATTTGGGATCCGAGACCGCCGGATGGCCCTGCGCAACCTTCCAGCTGCGCGAATGATGTCGTATACAATGCGGAAAAGCTTGACCTCCTGGGTACACGCCAAAACTAACAGCGGCGTGCAGCGCTTACGAAGTCCGGACGTATACGTAGGATATTATCGGGCGCAGTTTATGGCGAATATGTCGAGCCTTAAGCCTCGGGATGAGGCCTCAGCTGTCGTGAGGCATGAGGCCTAGCCAGCAATGAGTGACTGAAGCTTGAAACTTGAAATTCGGAGGAGGTCAACGTTAACATGTTGACAAACGCAGTAAGCGGTGTTACGATCGCGATTGATAGTTCAAGCTCCGCTCCTTAGAGTAATCCTTAAAGGTAAGAACGTTGGACAGGCGCCAGTGCAAGAGGCCCTTCCCCTCCTGCTCTTCTATAAAGTTTTGCCTCTCTTGCTCTCCCGCTATTCTCTCCCCTTCCCCCTCGATGGTCTGAATCCTTGATGGAACAGACGGCTACGCTTTTCCCTTACACGTTGGGCAATCCTCCCGAAGAGGCTCTTTATTTAATGCAAACGTTTGCGGCAGTCGTCAACAAGCGTCTTATCGTTCAAGTCCAGTGCTAGTGCCAGTGTCTCTCGCAGGAACATGGCCGCTTGGTTGACGCTCCCTGTATCGATGCGCGGCGCGGAGTGAGCGAGTAAGTCTCGGAATCGATCTCTATGTACCACTGAAACCGTTTTTATGCGTCTTGAGCCTGCTTTCGTTATCTCCCCGTCGTCCTCGCGTCGGATACGCCGACAACATTCGCGCATCCGACTCCGTGTTTCTCTTAGGCATCGGACCGTAATTCTTGCCGTCTGGAATGAAACGCACGCCGCTTATTGGGCTTCGCGGTATCTATATGTCGGTCATATATGGCAAAGGTGACGAAGGCTTTGTCACATTACAGAAACCCATCCTACAGAACGTCCGGTTGAACTCCTTCCCCACGACTTCCGGTGATTCTTTCCATGTCTACGATTCGAGGCCTGACTGAACCGACTCTAGTTCTTGTCTTTCACCACGTATGGATGGCCGACGTCGGATGTCGCACTCGCCCATGATAGCGGAATATTTCACGCCCGCGGGCTGGTCGCTATCTCGGCTCCTCTGCCTCGACCCGGATTTTATTGCACCCTTTTGAACGGCCCAGATCTCGTGTCCGGTCAGCGTTTTTTTCTCTGTTTTGTTTTTTGGATCTGACGTATCATACACATGTAGTGCATATACAGCCGTCTACAGTAATTCTTGTACGGGTGTTTGCCCGGTCATCGTCGAGCGTACGGTTTATCGGCACGCCTATTTCCCTCTTCTCCCACCATTCCCGGCCGATATCGCGCCAGAGACCAATGCCAGCATGGATCTCGATTGCAATGCCTATCGCTGCCGGCGCGGGATCATCATCCCCTTCCTTAGCACCCAGATATCCTCTATCGGCTCGTTAGGGTCCTCAAATGATAGACAGCAACCCAAGTCTCCCCTTCGTATGGTGGCGACGCCGCGGCGGTCCCTGTGATGGTGGCTCTTCGCCGTCTTGGATCCGTCGTGGCCGTCTCAGACTTCTCGTGGACCCCGTCGGGTCGTCGAGCCATGTGCCCATACACCCTGCGCACCTCGGACCATTACCGTCGTCTACCGCCACTCCATCAGCGCCGGGTGTCAAGCACATGTCCTGGCCAGTTTTCGTCTTTCTCTCACGCCGAAAATACGATGCTAACATCCTCCTTCGCGAACCGCAGATACTCGTATGAGTCACACTGGCGCCTGCACGACACGACACGGCGTGCAATGAATTCCCGAACAGCTGCGGCTCAAACTCGAGTGTGGATAGTCATGCTCAGAGTTGCCCCTCGCCCTCTGGAAAATGGAACCGCACTCACTGATGTCGAGCAAATGTGAGTTACCCTTATTCATGCACCGCACGGAAATACTCTTCCACCGCCGGGGGGCTCACGTATATCCTGTCTCGTCCGAGTGAATAATAACTGATACAGAAGCTGACATCGGTGGTTTTAGGACGGTCTCGAGGACCCGGAACAAGGCCTGCGCGGATGTGTCAGGCGTCAGAACTTGGCGCGCCCTATGGCGCAGGTACCCCGTGAGCTTTTTGGATATCCTCGTGCAGACAAGCCTGAGAAATTTCAGGCTGGCACGCAGCTTCCTCTACAAGGTGGTGCGTTTTTTTAAACTCGGTATACTTACGCTATGCATGCAGTATTCACGCAATGGTGCGGAACGTCGTCGCGGCCGAGTTGACAAACTACTTCTCCGTAGAATAACACCAGTGCCGCGTGTCTGACACAAAACATGGAGACTACCGGTCCGAACGCCGCATTTTCTCTGGCGTCCGCAGTGCGTCTTGTCCGTTCTCGTGCTGCATGCGTTCTGATATTTACAGCGCTATCATATCGGGCAACACCTGCCAACAGTGGCGACCCGAAGCTCCCCGCGCTACAACACGCGATGCTGACCATAATTGCATCCGGAGACGTACGCGACTGCTTCCTCGCCGCGGACTTGGGTGATACGCGGCCAAACGGGGAGGGCTTGTCTGCGCTCAGGCGTAGCATAATTTTCGAGCGCGCTGGGTGTGGTCGGGCACAGCGCCTCGACGCGTGGCGTCTGATATGTGGGTGAGTTGTCGGCGCCGGTGCCACTGCTGCTGCGACCAGACCCGGGCCCGAGGAGACGTCCCGACCTGGGCGAAAGGCGAGACGAAAGGTGCGTGAGAGGAAGAGACATGTACGCTTACTGCATGATAACGTAAATGTCGTGTGCAGACCAAGGAGGGATGTCTATTATCTTTCCAAAATAACGTTGGGGCTGCATGCGAGATGATTTTGTAGCGGGTCATGTCGGTTCAGGCTTTCGCGCTTACTCACTTCCCCCTCTTTCCCTCTCTCCCTCTCTACCTCTCTACGTCTCCCCCTCTCTCCATCTACCCGTTCCTCCCTCTTTTCTGCCTCCCTCCTACGTCCTGCTTTCCGACCATACCTCAAAAGCTGGTATATCAAGTCATCTACGTGACCAAATCCCTTCTCCCCACATTCCACTCCAGTACAACGCCAGCAAGCGGGCTCGGGGCTTGATTCACTCCAGGTATATTTCCTCCAGTTCGACTGATAATGAAGGCAGTTGTCTCTCTTTTTAGTCCTGCCTAGGTACTCATTGCATCCTTTGGTTCCTCAGGCAGACAATACTACGGTGCAACATCCGCAGACCAGCTCGGCGCTCACCTGGAGAATTCTCAGGAATTGGCAGGTGCGTTTGTAGAACTCGTGGCTTGTGTTGCGTTAAGCCGCGCTCGCTCTAGAGTCCTTCATCACCACTCCCACTTTTGCACAATGTCAACAATCATGCGAATGCTCTCCTCCACGAACTCCCGCGTGCGATTCCGCACTTTCAACTCCCCGAAGGCCGTCGTCGGCGACTATGCTGTGCTATCACACGTATGGAACGGCATCGAGCAATCCTACCCCGGAATCGCCCGTCTGGAGCGCGCAGGCGCCGCAGTAAACGACCCCCGTCTCTGCTTCAAAGTACGCGAGTGCCTCCGTCTCGCGCAGGTCTACCACTGCCCGTGGATCTGGATGGACGCTCCTTGCATCGACAAGCGGAGCAGCGCGGAGATTTCCGAATCCATCCGGTCCATGTTCAAGTGGTATTCGCAGTCGTCGGTCTGCTTCGCCTATTTGGCGGACGTACCCTCCAATTCGGGTCCGATAGACGCCCCCGACTCCGCTTTCAGGCGCAGCAAATACTTCTTGCGAGGTTGGACGCTCCAGGAACTCATCGCCCCTCGCCGTGTCGTATTTCTCGCCAAAGACTGGACAGTTCTGGGAGAGAAACGGGAGCTTGCGGGCCTTCTGGAGGAGATCACGGGGATCGACGCCGACGTCCTCACTTTCCGTCACTCCCTCTCTGACATCAGTGTCGCACGCCGTCTGTCTTGGGCGTCGCGCCGCGAGACTGGCCGTCCGGAAGACATGGCGTACTGCTTGATGGGATTATTCGATATACACATGCCCGTTCTGTACGGCGAAGGAGGTGCGGCGTTTGAAAGGCTGCAAGAGGCCATTCTACAGAAGATCTGCGACCACACACTCCTGGCTTGGGAGTTCCCAGATACTCCTCATCCCTCCGACTCCTCATCGCCCTCCCCGTGGCCCTTCGCACCATCCCCAGCAGCATTTGAACGAGCGTCTGGTCTGATTTCGGTGAACATGCAGCAATTTGTGGCGGCGATTGCGCCTCTGTGCGAAGCCTCCGATCGACAGCATCCGGTGAGTTCGATCGTCGCGGCATTCTCGCACTGATCTCACCTGAAGAGCACCAAGATCCTGCCAAGCATCGGTCCGGCAGACCACAACGGAATCAGATGCCATCTTCCTATCCTCTTTTGTGGATCCACGCCCTTCGCCGTCATACTTGCGTGTCGGGAGGGTCAATCGCCGTCATCGTATGTCGCGCTCGCCCTGCGCAGCGACTGCCCACCGGTCCCTGGAGTGTATAATATCGGGGCGGAGGCTCGGGGAGCGACTACGTCGACGCCGGAGCAGCCAACATCTCGACTTCTTCGCGTCAACCTGGATCTTGTGGCGTGCCATATGGCCAACCAGGCGGCTCTCGCTCACGTTGCTGCAGTGCAGAAATCGGCGCTGACTTTGCGCTTCATGGAGTTCTACATCGCTTCCGCTCCCCCCTGCGAGCGCTGACAAACGTACAAGCTAGTCTTCCCGTCGTCTAGCGGCGAAGCGACGACGTACGCTTCGGAGACGCCCCGATGGTGACTGGGCCCCCGTGAGCACGGGTAATTCTGGTAATTTCTCCTTGTCACCTGTATGTCCCCCCGACATGTTCCGCTTGTGCGCTTACGTCTCTGCCCTCTGTGATGCAGTGTCTCATGTCCGCGTCCTGATACACGTCTGGCGTGCACGATACATGCCTTCCGCGGATGGCGGTGCTTTGCTACGATACGATAAGGCTGCATATTTCTCTGCTGCGCCATGCTTGCTCACCCTTCATTGTAGTACTCCGCACTTATCAAGTGGCTCGCTCTCGTCAAATCAATACCCGTCACCTGTTGCTCTCGGATCCGCTTGGAGCCTGTGATACGACGGTATACCCTCCATCTGCTGTTCCTGGGTTTGCTCTTGACCTGCGGCTCTCTAGTGTTGTGCACCGCATACACAGCTCGCTCTGAGCCTTCCCGCCGTTTGCTGCTGTGTAGGCTGAGACTGCAAAGTGAAGTATATCGGTAGCTACAGTTCCTTTCGTCTATGTTGTGCAGTACACGACGCCGACTGACGCTGCGGGTCGTTGATGCGAACCGGTCATCAATGATATCTTCCAGCGTACAGGTACTTTCAATCATTCCTCTGCACGTGTATGCATTCAAGCTATCAGGACACCGAACTGGCGGGAGACATCCCACTGCTGGCCCAATGCTCTTCCAACGCTTTCCGCCTCTGTGATCACCGTCTCCCCGAGTCGTTTCCCCGGTTCACCGACACGCTTTCCTCGACGCGCTCTCTTTCCTCGGCGCGCTCTCTTTCCTCGACGCGCTCTCTTTGTCGTGCCCTCCAACGAGCGCGTCCGACGGCCGCCTCCGTAGCGTGTACAGCCCAACTCTCCGGAGGTCGACATCCGGCTTGAGAGGGTGACCGAGGACCACGGCGGCATGATCGATGGTCTCAGAACGGATGGTTGGAAATGGCCAGGAGAAGTCGTACTAGGCGTGTGTGACACTGTACACGTATTATTCCTACACATCTTCGCCTAGTGTGTTCTCCGAGCTCGTGCACCCTGAGTCCTGACTGCGAACCTGTGAGTCCAAATAACTGTTAGCGGCGCTAAGAGCCACCAACTACAACGGGCTCATAATTACGGTTGATCCGTAAGAATCCACTAGAAAGCGTCATGCGCGGGCTCCACCGTGCCGAGTAACCTCTTTGCGATTCACACAGGTCCAGGTAGGACCTGTAGGATTGAGCACCGAGGGCAAGCCTATCGATGTTCGTCAGCTCGAGCACACTGCGATTGCTGTCAGAGGCGAGGGCGCATACCCGCGCGCTCCGTGGTGTATTTCCGTGAGTCTTCTGGGTATATTGCACGATAATCATTATGAACACAGTGGTCTGCAGGCCGGCGTCATGGCTCTTGTCGGGCGCGTCCGCGGTCATGCCGTGATGTCATAAACACTATTTGAGTGGGGCTGCGCGCTCAGCGCTGACCTCGGGGTCGCGCTCGAAGAAGGTGGGAAGGTGACCACTAAAGAAATTTTCGGCAGGAGCTGATCTCTCGGGGTCGCATTTGCGCCGAAGGTTGCATAAGTTCTACGGATAGGGTGTCAGACTTGGGTTGAGAGCAGAGCGTAGAGCCGGGGCGAGGGTACTGACGATGAGACAGCAGCCGTTGATCATCTTATGGTACGTCTTGCGCTGGGGTGGCAGCGTGGCAGGGCGTGGTTAGTTTTTCGAGGCCCCTGCGGCCTGCGTCAGGGAGAGCATGAATTCGAAGGTGGCCTAGAGAGCGGTGGCCTTCGTACCGGCTGAGAACGTCGCGGATTTTAGATAGTCTGCGAGATGGACTATAAGCTGGAGGCACAGGAGTAGATCTGAGAGGGCGGTGTGATGGTGAGAATGCTATGTCATAAGTGTACGACGACAAGCAGTGGAGGGCATGCGACGAGAGATACCGCTGGTGAGGGGACTCGGAGGATGCCCTTGAGTCGAGTCTGCGAAGGGGATGAGAGCGGAATCAAATATTGAGAGCAGTGATTTCAAAGACCTTCAGATTTTAGTTGCCAATAGTACTCCTCGCTGTTCTTGGATAAACGCGGATGAAGTCGACGTCGGACATGGCAGTGGGAGGCTGAGACGCGCGATGGGCGCTAGTTCAAGGCAAGAAGGGTCACTGAGGCGGTTTTCCACGTTCTCTCTCTCTCTCTCTCAGCTGCGGCCACACGCCAGGTTCACCGAGTTCTTCGATGAGTACGTTCTGCTCTCTTCGCGAGTGCGTCCAGTCAAACTAGTTGGAGCCACACCTGCCACGTCCGACCGCAGCGTGCTTTTCTAAACGTGTCATCAAGTGTAAGGCAATTGAGCGGTAACCGCGGGGTCACGATGCATTGTGGAAGCTGCTCAAGCTGTCTTTCAGCAGTACGGAGGATGTGAAAGTCTGATAAGTACGTGAGGCGGCAGCCAAGCTTTGTAAGTCCCCAGAGTACACCGATATTGATACAATTGATACCGATGGCCATATAGCCTAGAAGCGTAACCACGCAGATTCTTTTACGAATACTGCATCACGAAGACACGAAGACACGAAGACGAACTCGAGACGGAGATAACATACTCATCACAGCCTACGTGCAATGGCGTTCTATGTAAGCCTCAAGCGGCTCTGAACTGAGTGCGTCACATCTGACTGCGGTGGCAAGGCTTATCAGGACGTCTCGAAGACAGCTACATAAGTACACGACGTGGGCGCTGTGTCACTTTGCTGACAGAACCGATGCGGAGCCCTAGCGTGCTCATCATAAACAAAGCCTATTCTCTTGGCTTTCTCATGGCGCTTTTCATACAACTTTCATATAGGAGCGCTCTTCATTGGCCATGGAGTATCCGTTCCGGGATCGGTTGGTTCCCGGTCACTGATCGATATGGTTTCCGGGTCGAGGACCGCGTATATCTTCCGTGGCCCAGCAGACAGTGATGCAGACCCTCTACCTATAACCAGTCGCTGTGAGTATAATTGTTTATTTCACACCACCCCACCCAACGATGCTCACCACTTTGTCGTCAGAGACATAGTCACAACGATGCGTCTCCTCAACACCGGCACACTTCGAATCGTGCACTTCCCCAATCCCGACACTCGCCCCCCATACGCTATCCTTTCTCATGTCTGGCAGGGTGACGAAGCGTCTTACCAGGAAATCCAAACCTTAAGCACGCACCCCAACCCACTCTCAGCTGCTCCAGAGAAGGTCCGTCGCTTCTGCGCCTTTACGAGGGCGGAAGGATTCGAGTGGGCATGGCTCGATGCCTGCTGTATAGACAAACGAGCAGCAGCGAGCTCTCCGAGGCGTTGAACTCTATGTTCCGCTGGTATCAGGAAGCCGTCGTGTGTTACGCTTACCTCCACGACGTCCCCGATCGGTTCGATGCGACGTCTCCGACACTCGACGACGATGACCTACAGCAAAGCTTCGTTGACAGCGCATATTTTACCCGCGGTTGGACCCTCCAGGAGCTCCTCGCGCCTCGTCTCCTGTTCTTCGTCTCGCACGACTGGACGGTGATAGGCACAAAACATTCTTGGGCTCCCGCTATCCACCGTGCAACCGGCATCGACTTAGAAGTGTTCACGCTCTTTCGGCCGCTTCACGAAGTCAGCCTCGCGCGCCGGATGTCCTAGGCCTCGCGGAGGCGGACCTCGCGACCCGAAGACCGCGCATACTCGCTCGTGGGTATCTTTGGCGTCAGCCTGGTCACCCTCTACGGCGAGGGCGCGGAGAAGGCGTTCTACAGGCTCCAGGAGCTCCTCCGCCAATGTCCCCCCGACCAGAGTTTGTTCGCGTGGTGCGCGTTGGACTTGTACGACGTGTTGTCCATCCAGACGTTTCGGCCGCGCCCCGACGACATGTTTGTGCAGGAGCCCATTGTGGACACCGCCAACTCCGGCCGCCTCCTCGCGCCTTCCCCAGGTTGCTTCGCCTGCGCTGGAGATATTGTCTCCGTTTCCCAAGCCCGATTCGCGGAGTTCTTGGGCACGCACCTCCCGCCGCACTCGATCGAGACGCACATCACTGGCTTCGGCATCCGCGTAACGCTCCCTCTTATCCTCGTCACCGACCATCCAGATACTTATGGTGTTCTTCGCCCTCCTCTCTTGCCAGCACTCCACTCTCCTAGATAGTGTCCTATGTCTCTATCTCGGCCGATCCATCTCCGAGGCTGGCACCTCACCCCTCCATCCCGTCGGAGCATTCACGCCGGCGCTGCCCCAGGACATCCGTCTTGAAGCGCTCGCAGCACTGCAGCTTCGTCGCAGCCGCGGTGGTTGCATATTCCGCCCATTCCTGCCAGACGTCTGCCGGACAAGGATCGCGACGCCTACAATCTATCTCCTTCACAACTCTCGCGCGACGAGATATGACAAACATCCTTGCAGCCGGGCCTTTGAACGCGCGGTGCGAATGTACGTCGCGGCAACGCAGCTGGAGAACACGAATCGTCGGCCACCCTTAGCGATGCTCTCAAACTGGCGAGTGTTACATCACGCACGGTCCATGTCGCTGCCGCGAAGGATGCTTACCTTCAGCTTGGTCGACACGTGCTCTTTTCTCGCGCACTCGCTCAAACGCACGTCTTTAGGACACTTGTCCGACTTCGTACGCAATATTGGACTGAGGCTCCAGTCGCGCATCCTTCCGGCCCCGTACAATGCAAGTGCCATATTTCAGCGTCCACACTCGATCGACGCGCCTCGTTCCGCATCCGGCGGCGGCCACAAGCCTCTCCAGTCGCCGTACCATTGGAGTGGCTGGGACTTGTCCTCCGAAGAGAACGCACGTCTGTCGCTTCGTCATGTCGTGACTATCGTCGTGGAGGTCGCGAACACGCTCTTCTCTCCCGCGCCACATGATAAGGACGCCGCAGACCAAGACGCCGACAGCATCTCTGTATCACCAGAACCTGCTCCGAGAGATCATCCAGGTGCAGGCTGCTCCACCGGCACAACGGCTGCTGCTGTACCTGCAGACGGACTCGGGTCGGTTTGAAGGGACTGGGGGGTGAGGCTGCCAAGATATGGGGCTGTTTCGGGTGTGAGGTACAATGCGACATGTAATATTGGATCGAAGTCGGGCTTGTGCACATCCGGGCCCGTACCATGTGTTACCAGACGAACGAGTTTCGCGCGGCGCTGCACCGGGAGGCCTGCACGAAGCTGTCGCGATAGGCTGCTTGACCTTGACTCGGACTTGAGGATGCGCGTTGGTTGGGAACATTCCTGCGCATGTGGTACCTTGTGGGTCCGCGAGATGGGATCGGGTTTTGCGCAACCGGGCCAACTCTGTACGCCGAGGCGGGTGCACGTATGCGCAGCATGTTCGCCGCCAGTCGGAGGACAGCTGTCGCTCAGCCACCTATACGTTGAAGAATCCGCAAGTGTAGTCATAAAATACATTCATCAATATACACGCGCGAAGGGTGGCAGGTACACAGTACTTTTACACAAAACATGCGCGGGGGCGTTCGCTCGTTCGTGGTATCGCATCCGAGTGGGAGTCGTATCGCCGTGATCATACAGTCGTTCGTACAGAGACAACAAAAACATATCGGAAATCTAGCATGGAAGAACATAAGCCATCCACCCAAGCTTATGCACCTCAGTCGAGTCGACCGACTCACGTTCATTGACAAGAGCAGCCAGTGCCCGCATCGTCTCACCGCCTCCGTTCTCTTTCTCTCTCTCTTCTCTCCCTCTCCTCTCGCTCCTGCTCGTCTTCCGGCGAGCTCCGCAGGCTCATCGTCAACGGCGTAACCGGCTCCAGCGGTGGCAGCTGGACCGTCCCCACGCCCGTCCCGATCCTCGTGCTCCGCACGCTATTCGACCTGCTCCTGCTCCCGCTCCCGCTCATCCCCATCGCGCTCGGCGGCGCGCCCATGAGCGCCGACACGGGCAGCGGCCGCAGCGCATTGCTGTCCTTCCTTCGCACGAGGGCAGGGCCCCCGCCTAGTCCTTGCTGTTGCTGCTGATACATATGTTGCTGATTCTGTTGATACATCTGTTGCTGGGGCGTTGGCGGGTACAGTGGCTGCTGTTGCGGCGGCATCGGCAGGGAAGAACTCGACCCGCGCCACGTCACGTTCGACGGGCCCGCATCCGGGGACCGTGCATGCACTGCTAGGGAGAGCCGCGGCGGTGTCGGGGCAAGCGCCGGCGGGGAAAGCGGGTTGGGTGGTGGGGTTGTGAAGGATGGGCCACCTCCTGCGTGGTAGCCCGTGCTCATCGTCGCCGCGCGCGGGTCATACGGCGTGGACATGCCTGGTTGCACTTGCGTGGTCCGCGCCGCGTCTGATGTCCGGAGGAATGCCCGTGGCTCGTCTGCTCCCTCCGCAGTGGACGGCCGGCGGTGTCGGATATCCGTGGTACTCATCCGCCGAAACGCCTCCGTCGGGCGCGCCATATCTGGCGACTCGGGGGACAGCAACCCCCCAGCAGAAGACGATGGCGCGACCTGCACCGAGGTCGGACGTGCTCTCGTCGACGAGGTGACGATCGATGGATACCGATGATGATGACCCGCCGAGCTGCCCGCAGTAGACTGCGATCCCGAGCGCAGGACGCTCGTTTGAAATGCCGCCGTGAGCGGGATCGCGGGGCCCGTGGACGATCGCGGGCGGTATGAGGTGCTCGTTGTAAGCGGCGCGCTCTGGCTTGGGGTGAGACTCGGCCGGCGGCGACTGCTTGACGATCGGTGGTGTGGTTGCGGCTGCGCCTGCTCGGGGGATGCGGGCGGGGACGGCAGCTGGAGGGATCTGGTTTCCGCATAGGCGTCGTCCTCGAGCACAGGCTCCATCCCTGGCTTCAGCGTACCCGTGCGGTGGCGGCTGCTTGGATGTCGTGAGAGCGCCGAGCCTCCGGCAGCGGACGCGGACGCGGTGGCGGGGGAGGGGACAGCGAGAGAGACAGGTACAGGTGCAAAGAGGTGTGGCATACCCGCTGACGCCTGGTCCGCGGGCGAGGTGGGGGTTATAGGTAGCGGGAGGGACGCACGCCGTGCGCTATAGATGCTATACTCGCGTTTGCTGGGCAGTCCCGGTGGGGTCGGGCTTCGTGGGGGCTGGGGCAATGCGCGCGCGCGGTATCCGCCGCTGGTGCTGTTGCTGATCTGGGGCCTTCCCTGCTCATCGCGCCTGAAGGCAGCTTCCCGCTCGCGGGCGGAGCGAGAGCTCGTGCTCCGGTGCGACGTCGTCGCGCGGTTTGTCGAGAGCGATTCCCGATCCCGGTCTCGCTCGGGCGCGCGCCCGTCCGCGTACTCGTCCTCGTCCGACATCGCGCGCGAGGAGCCGTCGGTGGTGCCGTCAGTGCTGCTGGTGCTCGTGCGCGGGGGGCTCTGGCTCTGGCTCTTGGAGCGGCGGGAGTGGAAGTCGCTCCAGGTGAGTGCAGAGATGGGCCGGAGGGGGTCGAGAAGTAGGGGGAGCAGCGGTTGGGCGTCCGGTCCGGCGAACACCTTTTGATGTCGGAAGGACGACCGCCGAGATGGCAGATACAGCACCCTCGCATTCGTCCGTGCATCCACTTCCGCGCCCCGTTCGACATCCCCATCGCGCACCTTTCGATACAGGCTGCGGCGCACGCTCGCGCTCGGGTTAGGGCGCGCGCGTCGCCGTACGAGGGGAACGACGATGGCGACGACGAGCGCGACGAGCGCACAGCCGCCGATGACGCCGAGGACGACCCCTAAGTTCGCTGGGGGCTGGATGGGATAGGACGGGCGATTCTGAGGCTGGAGGTGCGGCGAAGACGGGTGAATTTCGCCATGAGTGCATGATTAGCGCACGCTCCTTCTGTGACAGAGAAGGAGATCGGGGGGCTCACATCATTCGCACAGTTCTCGCACTTGGCTGGGACTGCCATGGATTCAGATGAGCGCGGAGACGCGTCCGCAGAGGTGTTCGGTGGGTCGTGAAAGTTCGTGGGGGTCGTCGTGGTACGGTTCGTGGATTTCGTGGCATCGCGAGCGGGACCGAGGTGGTGTTATTATGCGCGCGCGAGGACTGACGACAGCAGCTGGAGCGTCGGGCGAGCACCACGGCGCGTGCGAGCGATAGACCCACCAGGTCTCCACACAGCCCCCGCACGGTGACCGTCGTCACTGATATGATCGACACCCCCGGGTCACGGTCACCCACCGGGCACGCGCACAACTCTGCTCTCGCCGTGCGCGTCCACAGAGTGGAGATCATTCAGCAGAGCAGGGCAGATCAGGGCACGCTGCAGAGAAGGATCAGCTCGAAGTGCGAATCCACCGTCGTGGGAGCCTCGTGCAGCGCGGCCACCGAACCAGGCGCGTTCGCACTCTCCGACCTCCCCGGCTCAGCAGCAGCACCATGTAGATACCAGCGTGCTCTTGTCGAGCTTGGGACACACTTCCGTGCAAGCATCGCACCCGTGCTCTTGTCCATCCGGATGTCGTGATGTGCATCTCATCATGCGAGGCTGTTCATCTGGCGCTAGACATATAAACAGCCCGAAATCAGTTCCATTCGAAGCACTGTTGGGCACACACGCACCCGCACCTCGCTGCCTCGCCCATTGACCGCATCGATCTCGGGACGCTGTCTGCGCCCCCGCCGCGCCGGAGGGTTTGGACAGCTCGATAATCACCTGCGACGTGCAACTGTCGAAGACACGCATGCATCGATATCACCCGGCCGCCAGGCGGCGCTTTGGGCACTGGTTTGGCGTCTACACTCCCGTGAATGGAGGCAGTCGAAGGCGAGATGGGGAAGGCACGGTTCGTCGGGTCGAGCGCATCGAAAGGAGAAGCTGCAGCCGTGGGTCCCCTGGCGTTCGTCTTTATGATGCTCGTCTTTGTGACATTCGAGAGTTGATTGACGCAGACACGACATCTGTGAAGTGGACAAACTTCAAGGCATTCGTCCACCAGACTGGCATGACTGTGGTCTAGGTACCTAGACCGTAGGGCCGACTCCACGCGGCCCATTCTGACGGGCGGCTCCGCGCAGGATGCAGACACGTTTCAGTACCCAGCCTCGCCCGGAAGTTTCAAGAAATCTTTTCTGCGGAGTAGAACGTCAGCACGGTGGACGGATATGTGCGCCTCGCTCACCATCAGCGTGGAGGTTCGGACGCCAACGAGATTATACCCAAACGCTGGGGAGGTATTGCTCACCGGATTGAGTGAGGGAGTTCACATGTACTGCCGCTGATGTTCTGACGTTTTTCGGCCAGTGTACACGCCCGTTACCGACGCGGACAGAGCACCTTCGCCTGCCCGGTGGTGGTAGGAGCACGACAATGCTTTCCTCGGTGAAGAGTGTCTGCATTAATCATGGATGGTGAGTAAGGTCCTAAAGACCAGCCTGAGGGACGCAGAGACGTTGACCCTGGTCTGACACAGGTGGTGTCAAAACGGCAAAAGGGAGATAGTCTAACTTGCATACCCGAGCTTCGGACAATGGGAACTCGCCTTGCGTTCGTTCAACACACAAGCAGAGTACTCCGAGGAGAGAAGGCAGGCAACTTGATCGCGGAAAAGCCGGAATGGGAGGGCGCGGCCGACCGTACGGGAGAGTTCTAAAGCTTCAAACGCGTCCAGTACACGCGAAGAGCTTTAGGCTTCGAGCCGGGCCAACCATATACCAGGAGACGCGCCGGGCACGCGGCAAAAGAGCATACCCCACAATTACGAGGCATCTGCGACGGACATACGAATGGTCGGTGAGTTATATGACCTTGTTGGGTACGACGAGTACTCACCGTCGGGTTGAGTAGGTTATATGCGCCCCAACATCGAGATACGGGGTTGGAAGGGGGGACAACGACCTGACCCGTGCGCACGATCGTCCGGCGACGCGAACACGTCTTGCGTTGAATACACTTGCAATCAACACTATGCATATCCCGGTGGATGGTGCATCGCAGTGCGGGATCGGTAGGTAACATCAAAAAAGCCCAGGTTGTAGAAGATGCGATGGGGTGTATGACGATTCTCAAACATCGTGAACGCGTCTGGGACACGAGAAGAACTCCGAGTTGGTCCAAAGGCTCACTGTCATACAGGATGTTTGCTGAAAACTTCTTATGATTGGTGAGCGAAACGGTAGAGGCTGGTAAAGTGTCGAGAAACGCTTACCATCATCTTACGCAGCGTATATGCGCCGCCATACAGGCTCCAGATGCATGTGCTCCAGCTGAGACCATGGCAGGTTTAGGGTCGCCTGGCGAGTCCTCGAGGCCTCACTTAAGCAGCGCGCATATTCGACGAACAGAGCGAGTGAGTACAGAGTGAGCCGGCGGGGTCGTGGAAGAGAGGCAAGGTACGCGGGCGCTACAAACGCGTCGCGTACGCGTACCCGCGGTGTCGTCTCGGTTGAGAATGTTATACATCCGTGCACATAAGTACAATGACAAATTACGCGTCCGTCTAGATATACTATCGCTGTAATGCCAACCAGGCCTCACGACTTCTTCTCGTCGTCGTCGCCGAACCCCATATTCGACCAGATCAGCCCGCAACACATCCGGAGGAGTTTGAGCGGCTCGTCTGAACGTGCCTTCTCGTACATCCGGCGCATGAGCTCCTGCTGCACGCCTTCCTGCATGCCCTGGTGCAGGAAGGCGAGCAGCGTCCGCGTCGGGCCGAGCACCTTCTCTAGCGACGCGCCCGGGTGGAACTCCGGGATCGGCAGCAATATCGACTCATGTCTGCGTGCCATGTCAGCATCGCGCGCGCAAAGGAAAACAGTGCACTCACGAAACGTCGGGGAAGGGCGGCATGTTCCCGAGGTCGTCGATGCGGTTCGCGTCCTCGACCATGCGCTGCTCGTCGTACGCACCACCTCCGTGCGCCCACTCCTCGTTCCGCCGCGCCTTTATGTGCTCCCACTCGGCCTGCCCCTCGAGCGTGCGCCGCATCTGGTCGAAGCGCTCCTGCGCGGCCCACCGGCTGCGCGACCACCACAGGTACCAGCCCGCCTTCCAGGTGCGCTGCTCGTCGCGGTCGCCCATCACCCCGTACCCGTCCAGCGCGGGCTCCGAACCCGCGCCCCCGACGAGCGCGTGCAGCCACCCGGAGTACCGCTGTCCTTCTGGGGGGAGCGGGTAGTTCATCGATATGGACTCGGCGGAGGCACCGGGGTGCGCGTGCGCTGCGAGGACGCGCGTAACTTCGTGTAGGAACACACGGCGGACGCAGAGGGAGCGGCACCATGGGTCGTGGCCGTGGATGCGCCCGGTGATGCTTTGCGAGCAGAAGGTGAGGCAGCGCTCGTCGACTTGTTGCGAGAACGGGCCTGGGTGGTCGCAAGATGCATGAGCCGTGAGGGTGGTGGATGTTATGGTGTTTGCGCACCTTTGGGCGGTCTCAGAATCTTGAGGGACGGGAGGCGATCCCACAAGAGGTCTGAGCGGGGCGGCGGGTCGTGCGAAGTGTATGATGAGGAGCCTGCAGTGGGTTGCATAGCGTCTAGAATGAAGCTGGTAAGGAGTGTGGAGGTGGAGGTGGAGGAGGGATGGTAGTGGTCAGTGGTCAAGCGAGACTCGAATCCCATCGGCGCCGTCGCGGTGGACGCGCACCTCGCGCCACATCATTCAGTCTCCGCAAGGTTTTCTCTGCCACGCATTCCATCTCCGCTCAGAACCCTCATATATAGCGCGCGTCGCGAAAAATCTCGACCTTCATCGCTCTGCCCAAAGAACCGCTTTCGCAGCTCCCGCACAAGAAGGCCCCGCCCTTCCACCTTGCAGCTGTGGGGAAAGTCCCCGGAGATGCAGAACGTGTCCCGCGCCCGCACAGGAAAGCGGCCGTCCCCAAGCACGGCGGCAGAGCGCGGGACGGCCGGACGCTCCTGCCCCCTCGAGGGGCTCGCGTCGAAGGCCATTCTGCAGCGCGTCGGGCCAGCCGGGAACTGCAGCGCGAAGATACGAGTGCTGTGGTACGCCCAGGACTGTGCTGGCGCGCTACTGTTGCTCATAGACACAGTTATGCGGTCGCGGTGCCCTTCGGGGCGCCGCGAACACAATGGGGCTTACTCTTGGGCAGCGCGGTCATGCGTATTTTTTCCTACTCGGACGCTCGTTCGTTCATGCTGTGGTGGGGTTGGAAGGTGGGAAGGCGGGATGTGGGAAGGAGTGGTCCATCAGGTGTGTGTTTTTTCTTTCGTTTCTCTTCATGATGCAATTCTCTTTTGAATTTCTTCAGGGAGTATACCTCTCTCCACGTGAGGGAGGGCGGGCTCCAGAACTTGACACCCCTGATCTTTCATCTTCGACACGTCATTTTCGTCGACTGTTGCTGACGATGTTCATTTCCTAGGTGTATCCTCGGCTCAGCAGGCTCGTATGTAATACGACCATGTATAATCCTAGCGCTCTTCAATCTTATGCTGGTTTCTCCTCGAATTCCATGTGCCTGTCCCTTTTCTTAAGGATGTCGTCGCTCGTCCGAAGGTCACCTCCGAGCATTTGCTTTGCCCCTCAGCGTTCAGTTACGGCTTCGTCTCTTGGAGGGAACTGTGGCTTGCACGCTAGGATGGTCCAATACCACGTCCATCGTACGCCGTTTGGCCGGTTCGCCTGCTGCTTACAACATTCTGCGGGTGGTTGATTGGTGTGTTTTGACCGAGTACATTCAATTGTTAGCGGCTCCTTGGACATGATATGCTGCGAGAACGGTGCTGGCTATGACAGTTGTTAAGACATTCATTTCTTCTGCGCGTTGCCTTTGCGTGTAAGTATATGTTTGAGAATCTCAGTAGCGTGCGTACTCTGCTTGGGCCTGGTCGACATAAGCTTAAGAGATCCGTGCCTAAGCCTCCCACGCATATGGAAACCACAGCGGGGGCCTATTACAGGTCCTTGTCGATTAGTGGTTAGATCATCACGTTGTGGAGGCGCAAAGCCGTAAACCCGTGAAGACGGAGCTTCGACTGCTCCCTGGGACATTCTTTTTGCCCCTTTGTATACTGCTCTGCCGTCTGGAATCTGTCAGTATGTCGGCCTACGACACTCCCAGTCGTTCGACCACAGTTCATGTAGTACGTGCAGCAACGTAGGAGACCGCGGGTCTGTGTACTGAAGACGGCCTTGCGGCACGCCGGGCCGGCTGGCCTGCAGGCGGGCCCGATTTGTTCGCCGATCGAGTTCTCTCTCTTCCTCGCCGTCGACCCTCGCCCTCGTCCCTTCCCTCCGTCCACCTCCCTTACTGCACAGCTCAGCATGGAAAAGCAGAAAAAGGCCGCTGCGCCGTCCTCGAACTGGCTCGCGCTGCACAAGGTCTGTCCACAGTGCCCGCGGTCGTCGCTCGTCTGCTCACCTCGTCTCTCCTGACAGCAACTCCCGAAGTCGAAGGCGTCCACTTCAAACCCAAAACACTCTGCATTCGCTGCGCGGAAACGCCGCAAGCTCGACCATGCTTCACATTCCCCTGCCCCGTCCGAGTCGTCCGATACGCCCGCAGAGCCGCATGCTTTTCCTCGCGGTGCGCCTCGCTATGAGGCCCACGCCCCCGCCGCCCCCGCCGTGCACATCCAAGACGCGAAGAATGGAGAGTCCGTCACACAGCTACGGAGCATGGTCCTCGGCGAGGTCGATCATCCACCCGCGCACCAACAGTACGTCCGCTCTTTCGGCTCACCTTCATGCCGCTCCTGGCTCAAACTCGCGCAGACCGGGCAAATACCTCGCGGTCGATTGCGAGATGGTCGGCGTCGGCCTGGACGGCTCAGAGTCGGCTCTCGCGCGCGTGTCGCTCGTCAACTTTCATGGCGTCGTCCTGATGGACGAGTTCGTGCGCCCACGCGAGCGCGTCGTCGACTACCGCACGCAGTTTTCGGGTATTCGTCCCGCGGACATGGTCAATGGTGCGCCTTTTTTCGCTTTTCGTTGCGCATGCGTGTGCTGATGGTGAACAGCGAAATCGTTTGAGGAGGTGCAGAAGACGGTCGCGGATCTCCTGAAGGACCGCATTCTCGTCGGACACGCGGTGCATAACGATCTCAAGGTGCATTCAAGCCCAGCCTCCCCTACCCCCTCGCCTTCTAGCTGACATCCAGGACACGTAGGCGTTACTACTGTCGCACCCGCGCCCGCAGACGCGCGACACGCAGCTCCTGTACCACAAGCATGGGCTTGTGCGCGGCCGCCGCCCCGCGCTCCGCAACCTCGTCCAGCAGGAGCTCGGGATCGCGATTCAGGCCGGCGAGCATTCGTCTGTGCGTACTTTTTCACTCTCTTTCTACCCTCCTTTTTCGCCCGTCTGCCTTCTCTTCCGTCTTCCTCCTCTTCCTTACGTTACGAGTAAACGACGGAACAGGTGCTGACTGTATGCGGCGACACGTTATAGGTAACAGACGCACGCGCCACGATGGCGCTCTTCCGCCTGCACCGCCGCCAATGGGAGAAAGACGTCCGCCCGCTCCCCGCCTCGCGCACCTCCGCCCCTACGCGTGCGCGCTCCGAGTCCCCTGCGCGCGCGGAACCGAGCGTCTCGAAGAAGCGTGCGCGCTCCGCTGTTGATTCCGACGGTGTGGGATCCGACGGCGAGGACTCTGACGAGGTTGCGCCCCCAGCGACCTCGAAAGCAAAATCGGCCTCCAAGGGGAAGGAGAAGGCGAAAGATGGCTTCCCGGGCGGCGGGCGGCGCGGCGTGTCGTCGGGGCTGTCGACTGTTGTGAAGGTCGCGCGGCCTGCGGGCGCGGCGAAGGGCGCGAAGGTGAAGGCAAAGGCAAAAACAGGCGCGGGCGCGGGTGGGGGGAAGCCGAAGGATGAGTGGTGGAAGGAATTGGGTGGAAGGGGCGCGGGCGGGGCGAAGGGCGGGATGCGCGTCGCGGCGGGGTGAGGGATGGTATCGGTGTTGGTGCACTGGGTATGCAATATGGTTGAGGATCCCTCTTCTGGACGAGCACCCGTGCACTTTTGTAATTCCGCCAAGGTTTCTTCTCACAACACTTGTAGAGTTTGTTCCATACCAAGAGGGGCTCAGAAATTGAATACTTTACCAGTGTCCAGGTATCAACATAAGCCAATTTCCTGGACTCCCTGTTGAATTTGGTCAAAGTTCTCATCTGAGCTTGCATCAATTCACATTTATTTCACTTATTGCTTCACTACATTTTTTCAGAGCCAGATATGTAAGGAAGGCTGTCTGGCAGGATAGAGAACAACTTTGTGAGATTTGAGGTCAATAGAGTGTTTTTGAACCAATGAAAAGTGACTTTACATCACATTAGGAGTGCTTCACTTACCCAAGGTAAAACCGCCCCACTTTGCATCAGGTTGCGCCACTTTTCATTACTTCAAAATCACTCTAATGTCCCACTGCGTTTGGTCGGCTTTTCAAACACCACTGTGATGCATCATTTTTGTAACCTTATTTTGTCGGCTTGCCAGGTGCTTAACACGCGCACATCGCACACCCTCATGTGCGACCTCGTGAACATTGTGAACACCTCATGTGCACGCCCTTTGTTTACCTGTGTATCTATCTGTCCAATCAATACAACACATGTGCCTTAGGCACCTCCATTGAGTGAACTGGACACATACTAGGAAACATGATCATTGTGGCACCACCCTCTAGGCTCTAAAATACAAGAAAAATAAACTACCCCCACTTGCGGTAGCCATAGCCAATCACATTGCTCGGCCAAGAATGCACGTTTGTCTGAGGCATTGTGCAGCGTGACTCGAGCTGTTTGATGTTGTGCACCCATTCAATCGTGCTGTGTAAACGACCTTGGCATCTTGAACGAGCCAAGTGTCTGTGTGATGTGCTTGGAAGAGGAGGAGCACACAATCAAGGAAGTCAATTGTGTCCTCAGTGCTGAGAGATTCAAGGTCGGGGGTAGGCTGAGTGTCAGTGGAGCACACCCACTGAATTGCGCTGCACAGGCTACCCCAAATAGCTGACCTGACGAAGCAAGGATCCGGGTTCTCCAACTGCTCTCGGACAATCTTGATTGCTTCGTACAGAACACGCTCGACCTCATTGAACTCCATGTCTTCCGTGTCCTTGAGCTTGTACTCGCTGCTGTCTTTGGTGTGTGTGCACAGGATGCCATCACAGCCCGTGTGAGGCACTTTGTTGGGCAAGGACAGGATCTAGACAGGAGCAGAGTTAGTATGCGAACATATCCAATATTATATTCCCAACATACTGGGGATGACACTTGCCCGCTGTCCACACTGGGGATGTCCACATCCGAGTCGTTGGCACTGCTGGGGGTGACATGTTGCACGGGGTGCTGTACGATTGCTGAGCACTTGCTGCACATTTGCAGCGTCCAAGAATGGTGACACATGGCTTCTGGGGTGGGTGCAATCTTGCCATTGATGGGAATGGTGTAAAACAGGTGGATGTGGAATTGAATAGCAGTTGGCCACCATTTCGCTGGGAGAGGACCAACGGCCTGCATGTTACATCCTGTGCGACAATAACTCCAATTTCTGGGACTTCATTCCCTTCCGGGACATATCTCATTTCCGGGACTTGGTACTGTACTTCCAAACTCCCAGAACTTTAGCTGTACCTCCAGGCCATCGACTCCCAAACCCCCAAATCTCCAGTTGTATTTCATATGTCTCAGATTGCGCCATTCTCTTTTGATAGCACCATAACAATAGGTTCAGTGTCTTCTGCTCTGGAACTCCATTTCCGTACTTCCTTATTGTCTTGGCTAGACACTAAGCAGTTTATTTAATGCCTTGCTAGCCCAATCTTCTGCCCTATATACTTAAAGTGTGTTTAAATGTAATAAGGAGACTTGACCACATCTAATAGCAACCATGAAAGTTATCAGTTGTGCATACAATCTGGTAATGACCTTCAGCCACAATCACAATTTAGTCCATTAAAGTCTGTGTATTCCATGAAATGCCATGATCATATCACTATTAGATGCACATTAAGAAGACCTTTCTGGTGATATATCATTGTCCCATGGTGTGGCGCAAAATGAGCCAACAGGGGGCAAAATGAGTTGCAGCTGTCGCTAAGAACAAACAAGACCATACTTGGTGGTAGGGGAACGGAGCTGCATTCCCCTGCCACCAACTGTGGTCTTGTTTGGTTCCCAACACAAATGGTTCAATATCTTGGCCCCCAGTTGTCCATATGCCACAAAATATGTATCAACAGAGAGCTATGGATGAGCAGAGTTCATATATTTAAAAATGACCTGGATGTGACTCATGCAGCTGCCACTATACAGTGACTTACAAAACTATTTCCAGAAACAGTCACTCGGCGCCTTTTGCTGAATATCTCGGTAACGGCTACGCGTAATGCTACAATTCAAATTGCATTAGGTAGAAATATGTCTTGGCCTTCGATAGGTACTTGTTTCATAAAAGTCGGGTGTGAACCTCCAAAGATATGATATGTTCTTTACCCACATCTTCTGGAAATGGTTTTGTAACGCACATTTTGGAAAGGTACGATACATGATTCTAGTACTTGGTATAGCCCCCCTCGGCCTTCAAAACAGCTGCAACCCTGTTAGGTATAGTCTCCACCAATTTCTGACACTCCTCTGCTGAAATTGCCTCCCACTCCTTCTGAACCCTGGTCCAAAGCTCCTCCATCGATATAGGCGGGGTTTTGTAGGTGGCGAGCTTGCGTTTGAGGACACCCCAGAGATGCTCGATGGGGTTGAGGTCTGGGGACTGTGCAGGCCACTCCAGGACTTGAATCTTGTTCTCCTTGAAGCATCATTTGGCCTTTTTGCTGGTGTGCTTGGGGTTGTTGTCTTGCTGGAAAATGATGTTTTCGACGTTGTAGTACCAATGGTAGAGGGAATTACGTAGCTCGTCCTCGATGATCTCCACGTATAGGTCAGCATCAATCTTCCCAATGATCTTGCATGAGTGTCCTGTCCCATCCCATCCAAAACAGCCCCAGAACATCAAACTCCCTCCACCGTGCTTGAGTGTTCCCTCCACCAGGCAGTCACTAAGGCTGAACACAGGTTCAGGTCAAACCCTGGATAGAGCCGGGAAAACCCGGACCCGGAGCCGCAAGACCTGGATCCGTAGATCCAGGTGACCCGGACTCCGGGTCCAGTCCGGATCCAGGTTAGGGTTTCAGCCCGTGCAGGATCCATGCTGGATCCTGACCTGCATCCATACTATGAGCACTCCCTCATGTAACTTGTGTCTATGCTTCATTCTACCCTCTAACTGGAGTCCTGATACCCACTGATACTGCTGTACCTCTTCCTGTGTGACTAAAGAGCTAAACACTATCACAGCAAGACCAGGCCAGGCCCACTTGCCCACATTGATTCGGTGATACTGGAGCCATTAATGGCCGGTTCTCTATGCGAAATGGCGCGTTTTGACGCGTTTCTGAAGGGCTTTCTGGATTAATATAGTGTGTCACAATATTCTCATTTTTGCGTCCACTGCACCATTTTCTTTTCACCTCTCTTGAGCACAATGCTACAACCTACACTTCTCCTCCAAAGTCGGGCACTATCTTGCACTACCTTGCCTTACGTCTTCCCCTTCATCATGTTTGTTAAGCTGGAGTTCTCGCTCTCAAAACTGTCCGCTATTGGCGGTTTTCTGATATGAGTCAGTGCAACACATCCCCCCTTCGTATTTCGTCCATATCTCTCGCAGTTCTGCTTCCATCCCCCCTATCTCTCGCAGTTCTGCTTCAAATTGTACCGCGTTTTGAGTGTCTTACTCACGTCGTATAGAGTGTTCATTCGATGCCAAGAACGTCCGAATCCGTCCATGCGTTCAATAGATATCGCCTTGTCCCCCTCCTCCCCCTCCCCCTGTATTTTGCTGGTATCTACCTTGTTTCTTATCCGTTTCCATTCATTCTTTTTGATGTTCGATACCACTTGCATTCGCTATGTAACGATGTATTTAGCGTGGCCGAATAGCCATTTTCAATTTTCGATGTTCTGAAGGGCAGACCCACAGGTTACCTGGATCTGGATCCGCGGATCCAGGTGATCCGGGGCCCAGGTCAGGCCCGGATCCAGGTTGAGCTCAAAATCCGTGCTAAACCTGTTGGTTCGGGTCCGGATGATCCACGGATCGATCCGTGTTCAGCCTTAGCGGTCACTGAGCCCCTCCCCCTGCTTCTTCCACACCCATTTTATCCCATCCAACCCTACTCTGTTGATCTTGGTCTCATCTGACCAGACAACCCTCTTCCACCGTCCAGTATTTGTGAGCTAAAGCAAAGGCGTACCACTTTGCCCAATGTCTTTTGATAAGCTGCAGCTGTTTCTTCTTCGTCACAGCCAGCATCCCAGCCCACTTCAGTGCCCAACGGATGGTTTGGACAGAGACATGTCTCAGGAAAGTGTCCTTGAGGGTATCATAGGCCTAAGTGGCAGTATCGGCCTGGCTGGTCTCAACAAATCAGGTAGCGTGGCGGATGTCGATGGGGGAAAGGAGTGATGGATGGCCGCCCTTGGACTTGTGGACTCCAGGGCAGTTGGCAGAGCGAATCTTGCTGATCTGGTTCTTACTGACACCAGTTTTAGTGTGTATCATGGAGATGGGAAGCTTCTGGTTACAAAGCTGGATGATGGTGTTGCGAGTGGCTTCAGAGAGTGCTGGGGGCATGGTGGTGGCAGAGGTGGAGGAGTATTCCAGCAGCGCTGATGTGGCATCACCTCAGTAAACATTATATAATAAATTCCCACAGTATCATGTGACATTCACAACATGCTTGGCCAAAAACAACCCAGTTGTTCCCTGTTACAATGGTCCAGGCGTCTCGGACATGGACTTTGATCGTACCTCACCTATGCCTCACCTACGCCTCATGTTACTGATGTGGATGGACTACACATGGATAGGGTACAGCTACGGTATGGACACCATGAGGCAGCGCCTCATTGTTATGGTCCCGTAGGTAGCAGGCTTGCCTCCCCTAGTACGCACCGGTCCTGCATGGCTTCTATGAATATTAGGACCCCTGGAGAGCTGAGGGTGCTCCTCAGCTCGACCTGGTTATCTATCACCTTCATCCCTGAGCTCAAGTCTCTCTCCTGCCTGCTAGGCCCTTGCACCTGAACGTTACCACGACCCTCGAAGGTGTCGTCTTAACAGTTCCCTGCCAAAATGCACGTTACAAAACTATTTCCAGAAGATGTGGGTAAAGAACATATCATATTTTTGGAAGTTCGCACCCGACTTTTATAAAACAAGTACCTATCGAAGGCCAAGACATATTTCTACCTAATGCAATTTGAATTGTAGCATTACACGCAGCCGTTACCGAGATATTCAGCAAAAGGCGCCGAGTGACTGTTTCTGGAAATAGTTTTGTAAGTCACTGTATGTTATCTACCATTGCCAGTCACTGAAGTGATTGATGCATCAATAGGGTGCCAATTAAAGGCATAAATTGGAGTAAAAAGATGTTCAGGTCCAGATAATGTAATTTCTTCAATGCCCTGCTAGTACTATCTTCTGCCTTATATAATGAGAGTGTTCTGGAATGCTATAATGAAGCTAGGAAGATCAAGTAGTGAGCACAAACACTGAGTAATGTGCATGCAATCTGGCATGGACCTTCAGCCACAATTGGTGTTTGGTGCATTAAAGCTTGTGTATTTGATATCAAACCATGATTGTACCACCATTAGATGCACATTAGAAGGCCCTTTCCAATCATATATAAATGTCCTATGTTGTGGTGAGGAATGAGCCAACAGGGGGCAAAATGGGTTGCAGCTGTGGCTGAGAACAAACAAGACCATACTTGGCGGCAGGGGAACACTGAGCTGTGTTCCCCTGCCACCAACTGTGGTCTTGTTTGGTTCCCAACACAAATGCCTCAATATCTTGGTCCCCAGTTATCCATATGCCACAAAATACTTGGGTAAGAGGGCCGTGTCCGGCAGGTACGATTGATGAGGATGTGGATATTCATTACAAATAATTATAATCATTACAAAGTCGGAGTAAATGTGAAGTCATACTTTTATATGTTGAAGAAAACTATGTGCCAACAATGATTACTTTGATTACGTTGATTTCAAAGTCAAACATTTCATATATATCTCATTCTAATAGCAATTACAAAGGACTACATTGATTATAAATATTGAGGTAATCCTACTTTACATTCTGGTATATACAAGTACACTAACACGCCTCTTACCTGCTTTCTGAAGCAGGCTGGAGTCGAGGCTCAGTACATTACCCTCTGGCACGAGATTAGTCCCAGTCTTCATCCCATCACGGAACCACACATCACCATGCCTGTCCACAACACGGCATGTGAAGTGGAATTTTCCAAAGTAGATTAGACCACACAGCCTATACCGCTCAGGATGATCAGGCAATGTGACTTCAGTGCAAATGTCTGCCTTGATGTTGTGAATAGTCAGTGCTATGAATGCTGGAGGCTCATCATATCTGATGCATTGATGGAGTGTGCGCTCACACTGGGGACACATCTGAGACGTCTTCTGATTGAAAATGGCACCCATCCAGGCAGTCACACTCTGACCCTTGTATGACCCTCCCTTGTACAGGCTGTTCTTCCAGATCTGCTTGGATGTGTCCCACAGAATATTGCATGCACCCTCAGACTCACTGGAATAATGGCAGGACTGACAGGAATAATACTGGGACTGAGTGTCTTCAGAAGCCTTCAGCAGTTCACGCACAAGAGCATATATGTCAGTACCCACTGGGCCATTAGGATATGTGACTGGATCCTGAGCATGGAGAATATCCCTGACTGACTGCCTGGTAGTGGTTGTGTAGCTGATTATGTCATCAGAATTGCCATTGAAGTGACCAGTAAGCTTTGACAGTAATGCATTCTGCTCAGGTACCATTGCCTGCCACTGCTGTGTACACTCAGTGTAGACGGACAACAAAATAGTCAGAAGACTGTCATAAGCACAGCTGTAGTTGGCATTGTCCCACTTGAACCCAATGAAATTGACCTCAGCATGCACCTGTTCACCACGAGGTTTCTTGGCACCCACTGCATCACAGTCATCCTCTCGCTTACGCTTCACTGACTTCTTGTCCACTGTATTGCTCACAACTGACAATGCTTGTGTGCCCTTGGCTGCAACATATCCAGCTGTCTTCTTTGGCTGATCAGGTACATCTGACTTGGGCTGCTTCTTGTCTTTAGGCTTTGCCTTCTCGACCATCTGCCATGGAGCATCTGCCTGTATGTCTTCAATTGGGAATGGATCACCAATATTCCATGTTAAGGCCCTGTGCATTGTCTTTGGCATGAACTGCTCTCCCTTCCACTTTCTGAATGAATGGATGAGTTCATTGTGTGTGATGCCTGTCACTTTGGGTGAGATCTTGCCCAGGTAGCGCAGCTTGGTGATTTCATCCAGCAACTCAAGCTCTCTGAACGCCTGACGCAGACTTCCAGATATTCCTCCGGTCAGCTTTCTTGGGTCAAATGGCTGCACAATAATGGTCCCATTATATGTGGATCCTCTGGACAGGCAGGTGTAGATTGACTGGTGAGAGCGGCAATTCTGCAAATCACACACATTATGTGGCCGTGTACGTCCCTGGGATCCAAAGTCTGTCATGGCAAAGTTGGGAATGACTGACACTTGGTCACGGGAAATGGACAGGAAATTTCCATTGGGCATCTTGCACCTGATCTTGCGTGACTGGTGGCTGATGGGCACTACATTGTCTGGCAATCCATCCAATTTCACAGTGGTAGGCGCAGCAGTGAGCTTGACAAACAGTGTTTCCAGGGCTTCCTTGTCCTCGCTGATAGGTCTAGACTTCCAGCCAACAACTACACCCTCTGCTCTATTGGTCACACAGCATTCAGTTGCTTCATTGATCT